AATTAGATTATTATTATATCACGAATAACATGATTAATAGAATGAAAAATTTTTCTGAAAAAATTTTTTTTTTCATAAATCTATAAATCTATACAAATATTCTGGCTACTTTTCTTCTTTAATCCGAGCAGATTTTTAATTTTTAATTCTGTCTTGCAATCTTTTTTTTGGAAATTAAACTCATAATGTTTTCTTTCTTATCATCAAAAAATAGAAAATGCAAGAAATTGCTACAATATAAAAATCAGGAGAAAATCCGGAATTCAGAAATTTTTCAGAAAATTTTTTCATTCTACTAATCATGTTATTCGTGATATGATAATAATCTAATTTTTAATTAGACAAATTTATAATGAAGTAAAGAAACAAATGCTTTTGAACTAGCTATAAAAAAATGTTTAAAATGAATTGTAAATTCGTTTGTCGAATAACAGTGTATAAATGGTTTATTCAAAATTAAAACTTAAATGTAGTATCTTTTTAAGTTACTAAGATAAGTACATATTTCTAGCGTATATAGATTGTTGAATTCATTTTATTTCATTGATATTTATAATTGTTGATATGAAGTAAAGTAAATTCTTAAAAAGAACTAAATTAACGAAACAATAAGAAAGCAATACGAAGTTGCAAATACAAAGTTTGCAATTATATTATTATTATTGTTATCATGATATGATAATAATGCTAGTTTTGATTACATAATTTATATCACAAACAATTCCGCAACTTCTTTAACAAGTTCTGAATAAATTTCACAACAAATGAATTTTGTATTGGAATTTGACTATACAATGCTACGAATTAAAATTTGAAATCAATTAGAAATTCAGTGCAGTGTTTCGTTGGAATAGTTTAGGTAAATTTGTAGTAATTTTAGCTTCCAAACAAGCTTAATGTATTAGGTATAAATTAAAATTAACAAAGATCTCAGATAATAATAATCCGTTTTAAATTTCAAAATCGAAATAAAGAAAAAAAAAAAAAAAAACTGAAAATGACCATATTATTGTAATTGATATAAGAATGATTTGAACTTGCTAAATAGTTTATTCTATTTTATGTGTTCGCTCTCAAAAATAGCCATCAGTTGTATGATTGTTCGTCCAATTTCCTAAAATAGATAACTTAGTCAAATATATAATACACATGTATCTGCACAGGCGGGTAGATTGTACTGGGAGAGGAACTTTTGTACTTTTGTGAGGTTGAGAACTATGCTAACAAAGGTAAATGTCTTCCCGGGAAACATCTTCCAAGTCAGGCAGCTCTCAACTGATGAGTGAATGTTCATGTTCAGGGTGGTTTTAGACAACTATCCCAGTTGAAGGACAACTGTGACTTCAAATCTGGGTAGGTGGTGCTTGTTAGCTTTGTAAAGTTGAGAAGAATACTGCAAACAAACTTATGACTGGAGGGTTTTGCTGTCATCGTCCAAGCTTGCTAGGCCTAGCAGATGAATTTCAAGTGTAATGGATGGGGTCAGTTCCGTGTACACTGCCACTAATCTAAAAAAGTTTAAAGAATATACTTGTTGTAAGAAAGTCCAGTAGTAACAGGTAAGAGACAAAACAGCAAATGTAGGTTGGAAGTTGCGAATCTTGCAAGTGTAAGTGATTCAAAATTTGATCGCTCGAGATTGATTTCGGAGATGACAGTTTTATTCAGTAGCATCATGGATGGACAACCAACTTTTTTTAACAAGAACATCGCTTGTTCCACGCCAAGAGCCTAGAAAAGACGGCTAATTAAAGCTCAACCGAAAACAGAATGTTTTCATCAGTCCTTTTAAACAGACCTTACCTACCACTTGACTAATGTGATATTCTCGAACAAGCGAGGATTACCAGTCTTGAGGTGATGCCACCCAAGAAGTCATTTCTTCAGGATGGAAGATTATCTCTCTTGATTGTGCTCTGTGATAAACTAGTCATTAGCTACTACAACAGAAATACCTCAAAGAAGAAATAATACTTCGAAACAATCTCTAACCTAGTTCACTCAGGCCTTAAATCGGGGTCTATGAAGACAACGACCCACAATGCTATCACTGTTTTTCAGAACAACGTAAGACGTGTCGCGTGATTGTGACAAATTCAAGCTTCGGGTTAAATCAAATTATAATTTAATTTAAATTATACATAGCTCAAAAATCTATCAATCATAACTGTCATTTAAACATCAAATTATATTCTATATTTCTATTAGCCTATATTATAACTTTTATTTTACATTTTATCGCATGATCAGATTTTTCGATAATATTGCATTGTTTTTTTGTAATTGTAATATTTTAGGTATTTATGCGCCTTTCTCTTGTGAGTTTTGGGTAAAGATGTCTATGGTATATCATATCTTTGCTGTTTGAATCTTAAAAAATACTTTCATTTATGACTTCAAAAGAAAGAATTCAAATTAAGGGAAATTAGTTTTGTTACCAACAATTTAAAAATTCCCTGAAAATACAAAAAAATCAACAGCAATAGGCTTATGAACAAATTCATTTCAGTAATTCTTCATCGACAACTTCCTTTCAGGACTTACTAGCTAATTCTGCATCGAGATCACCTCTTGAATTTTTCTAATTTTTCCGCTTCTTTCGCAAACACTCGAAGTAAAATATTTGTTATCTTAATTTAAGACCATAATTAGAACATAATTATTAATTTATTATTGATCATTCACATAATCAATAATAAATTAAAACTCATCGATAATTCGCTCTTGCAATGATAAACAGTATTCCTTAACTTTAGATGAAATCTGCATTGAAAATCATACAAAACTTTACTGTTATATGATATTCCATTCTGGAAATATTCATCCAATTTAAAAGTCAGTTGTGTAAGAGTTATAGTAAAAGTGAAAACCTGGAAAAAAAGTGATTTGCAAAAAAAAAATGAAAATTTATTATTTAATAAAGTTTATTATTTAATTAGATTTATTATTTCAGATTACTGAAAATATGATAAAATGAACTATCACTATCACATCATCTGTTCTCTTGAATAATTATCGTTATCCATAACCTTCTTCACTTTACAGTTTATCATCGTTCACCATTTTAAATGTAATTTTGCTATAAATAATTCAGCGCAGTTGTCTACAATGTTTTGCATTTGAATAATGTTGTTTCTCTCTCTCTCTCTCTCTCAGAATTATCCGTTATTTCATCTTCTGTAAATAACATACATTATTGTTTCCTTCATTTATTTGCAAAATTCCAACCTGTCCTTCCGGCATTTTCTGATATCGCTGAATCGTCTTTATAATTCTTTGCTTCTTATACTATTGAGTATAGCAGAATTCAACAAATGTGAAGTTTGAAATAGAAAACGATAATAGAAATTAAATAAATAGAAAAGAGAAATAGAATAAAGAAAATAAATAAAGTAAACAAATATAACATAAAATCAAATAATCTCATTTGAAAATGATGCATTATCACAAGGATTAGTTGATGGACAGAAAAAATGAAATATAAATTTTAAACAAAAAAAAAGGAATTTCGAAGATATGCTAACTTTATTTAGTCAAGCTACTTTAATTAATCAAGTCCCATAAGATTTCGATTATATGAACTGTATGATATCAAATTCAAATGTACCAAAAAATAACTTTAAATATACATGCGACTTTTGCTAATGGCGTTTTTCAAATTTTGTTATGAAATTTCCGTTGCAAACAGAGATCATTAGTAATGACCTTTGGTTAAATTTTATTATTTATGATAATAAAACTGCTTAATTGCAACATTATAGCAATGTTTCTGAGTTTTTTCAATGTACAGTAATTAATTATCGGTCCTGGCACCTACCCAAATGCTAAACAGAAACGTTAAGCACTAATGGAACTGAGATACCGAAATTTATTAATTTTTACTTGATTATTTTTTAAATGTTTTAACGGCCTGTATAGTTCGCAGTCTCTCCAATTCTCTTCTACATTAAGTAACCATTTGGTAAGACCTGTAATAACAATCGAACCTTATCAATCCCTCCTTTTCAAATTTTGATCTTTAATGTGAAAGGAACAATATTCACACTCTTCCACAGTTAATACAAACTTTCGACTAATTATCAGGGAAGTATCACAACCAATATGGCCTATTTGAATAAAGTGCAGTTTAATACTCTGATGGGAAATTAATCTTAGCAAAGATAAGACACAAAACTAAAACTAATCACTTCGCAGCGTACAAAAATCTTTATCCTTCTCTTGTCTTTTACACATAAACGAAAAGTTGAAAATTATTATAATAACATTCTGAAATGGGCGCATCATATTCAACTTTCATCAATGATAACTCAATTTGATATGCAATGATTCAGTTTTCATTAATATCTCAATGGTTCTGGTTATGCTACAGTTGTGATGCTAAGCTTTTTTTAGTATATTTTTTTAGTAAACGTCTATTAACGGTGACATATTAATTGTCATTCTTCAGATTAGATAGATAAAGATCGCTGACATCTATGATTAATCTATATATTAATAAGAATAAATGAAGGAAGTAAATGATAAAAAAAAAAAATTCCAAAGAAGTTATGCATTACAATTTGAAACGAAGTGAAAATGAAATCAAAAAACCTTAGAATACCGAACTTCTTCCGCTTTCTTCCACAACTCCAATTTTTCAGGAATGCTAAATTATTCTTCACATTACAGCACCTGATATATTTTCAAACAAACGAGTAAAATATTACGGAATGTTGCTATCCGAAAACATTTCATCAAAGAATTAGCACATATAGCATTGAGAATGCAATCACATTTCCATATATATACAAAGCAGATGTTATGTGTAAGAATTAAATATTTCTAATGATGTTGGCATTGAAGCTACTACACTTTGCGAAGTAGATGTTATGCTTACCAATCCATACGCTCTATGTATCTGCAATTATAAGCTGACCAGGAACGAAGGACTAGAAAAGAACATAGCATTGATGGACCTATAAAAACTATAAACCAAAAGTACGATAGCAGTAACAGTCACATCAGAAACCAGTATCATCCATCAACTGATTCGTCCGCCTGAATGCAAATTTCATGATATCACGTTGTAAAATTGTTTGCTTTTCGGGTGTTAGCATAAAAAAGCAGGACTGAAGCTGCTGGTAAAACTGCTCTTCTGTAGGTACTGCAGCATTGACGATGGAAGAATCTCTTGTTTTTGGTAGTTTTGACGGTTGCGATGATTGCAATGACTGCATTGGTTGTGACATTTCAACCGGTGGCTCATTTCCTTGACTTTGCAATTGATGCGCCAGTAAAGCAATAGTATCAATCACCTTCGAAGTATTAACATCATTTTCCATAGAAATTTCTTTACGAACATCTAAAAAACCCGTATGAAATAAATAAATAACAAGGTGAAAAAAGAATCTAATTAAGTCTAATAATTCCAGAACCTGTTCCTGGATAATGAAACCGTCAGCAGTAATAATTTATAGACATTTGATAAAAAAAGCAGTAAAATAACAAAACTACCTCCAGATTTTCGGATGTTATCAACAATGTCTTTCCTGGAAACTCCTGGCTCTGGGGCAGGGCTATTGCTACATGACTTTCCACCTTCTGGTTCGGATATGAAAAAACTGTCACTGAAAATAAGTAGAACAAACATATTACAAAAAAAAAAAAAAAAACTCGACAATTACATCAACGATTTTATATCGCTTGTCTTTCCAATAAAAATAAAATAACCAACTTGAAATCGAAAATTTGGGAAAACCAAAAGTTGCTCATCCACATCCGAAAATTCTAAAATCGTCTACTTGTATAGCTCGCTCAATTCCACCGAATTAATTACTGTATGCTTATATAAATATAATACTCTTGGATCCGCTTGCTTATCTAGATATTCATGTATTTGAATTTAATTTGAATCACTATATTCAAGCCTAATCAGATATTTACATGAACTTGATAATCAAACATTTATTTATGTCAGGAAATATTTGAATAAGTTTAGATGGCATCGGTACGTTAAATTTCCTGAGTACTTTGACTGATGTATTTAGCTGCAAGCATACTGAGCTATTCACGTTTTTCTTGCAAAAATATAATTTCGAAATTATTAAATAATGTTCATGATAAACGGATTATTTATTTAATTCAAATATCATAGATGAAAAGTAAATCTTTCTTTTAATTGCTTGAAAAAGAATACCATGACTAAAATTATAATTTTCCTAAGAAATTTAAAAATCTTGTCTATTCATGAAGAAAAAGTACAAAATACTAAAAGATTCAACGAATCTTTAAACGGAAAATCTCGTCATAATCAATGCTTAATCATGCAATCATAGAGTTAGGTCTTAATTCTTTCTCAGATCACTCTTACAACGCAACACAGATTCGATGCCCTTTGTAACAACAGTATAACAAACACACCGAGCAAATTCCTCTTCCATGATGCCATCCAGAAATTTCATTGCAACAAAATATCGTCGATATTTACAATTGCGCGTCGTTCTTGCACCAGGATTCTGCTTTTGCTGTCGTTTCTCATTTGCATAGGATCGTCGCAGTTGAAGCCATATTTTCCGACATGTTTCTTCTATAACGAAAAACTTCGTCAACGATAGTCCTCTTGAATCCTCAAATTTGGAGAGTGAATTGTAAACTTGAGGTGCTTTAATCAAATATTTATCCATATTCAACTATCTTCAATTTTCTCACCTCAAGCACCATATGTTTTTATGTAAACAATTCTTTGGAAAACGATTTGAGAAGTAATGATTTTTAATTGCATGATACATGATTTATGGCTTGAACATTTATGATAGAAATTTCTGTTAAATTACTAAATGTATTAAATATATTTATTCAAGCCTATAACAACCCACCTTGTAAATCCTCAAATAGATATTAATCAGATATTAATGTTTCATCTGAACACTATGAGTTCTAATAATGAGGAAAATCGCATAAAGTTGGGTATAAATGGACAAATTTAGAATGACGGTCAAAATAAGGAAGTCAGAATTGGAGAAAAAACAAGGAAGAATATATGTATTTTCAAATTAAAATTCAGTACCGTCAACTTGCTTCAAATCATTTGACATCTCTGCAGCAATGCTCTCCCAAGCTTGCTTCTTTTTATTTGTTCGTGTGTGATATTCTTCAAAGCTACCATCCCAAAGTATTTCATTACGTCGAACCAAATCTATGAAACATTCCATTTCAGGACCTACAAATTAATTAATTGAGCGCTTAAGCTGGGAAATCAAGAAGGAAATATAACTAAAAAAGCTTCATTTAAAAAAAACATGTTTATAAAATAACATTTCAATAAGAAGAAAATCAGAGAAACCTTTGAAAACAAGCACATGTCGTAAATTAGTTGATTTAGTAGATGTGGGACCCTTTTCACCAAAATCAGTTAAAATAGTCCCATCCTGAAAGAACAAACCAATTTTCCTCCGAAATACTATACCTAATTTTTATATCATTTATTGAAATTTATTCCTTTCAACCATATGATGTAAATTTTCGATTTGTTCAAGTTTTAATACAATAATATATATTCCTGGAATGAAGATACACGCATGTTCATCTAGCAACATCAATTCAATCATTTTCCGGATGCATATGCAACAGCATTTCAAAAGCCCAGTCACACATAATGAAATGATTGTGGTTTCATTAAAATTGTTTACAAATTTCCACGCATTTCATCAATACATGCTATCCAAATACACCATACGAAATGCACACACATGTTATGTAAGTAAACAAACAGATACAATACAACTGTAATCTATACCTCACAGTTCACTGTTACAGAATGACTTGTGGACGGTTCCATAGTGAGAAGTATATTATTAACACAAATTTCGGATAAATCTTCTTCATTACCATCTTCAATTTTAATTTTGCAACCTGAAAAAAGAAGCACATATCTAATCATTACCTATCTATCTATAATTAAAAGAAATAATAAACTAACGTTTAAGCTGCTCATCACAATTAATTTGTCCAGCAATTTCATCGATCGCTCGTTTCAAGGTTAATCGTCTTTCCATTTTCGACTTCTCTTCCATTTCTTCTTCTTGTTTAATCTCTTTTGGTCCTATGATTTGTCTGTCACTGATATCACTCATCACTCGTTTACTTTACAATACTGAATTAGAATTAGAGTGATAATTTGAAAAAGAAAAGAAAACAAACACTCGTCTCGCAATATCGAAAAATAATGTGAGTAATGGAAAGCAAAATTAACAACCATCACAATTCTTCAATTTAGTCCAAATAATATCTCGCACCAATTTTCAGAAAACAATTCATGGTATATTGATGACAAGATCTAATAATTTAAACTATTAATAATTTTAACTTCCATTTTACGCATAACATTCATAGCTTTCGGTATAATTGCATTTTCAGCATCAAACTTAACATTCCATTATTCTTTAATTTATTAAATTTTACAAAACATTTCGAAAAATTTTTTAAAAGAAAATAATCACTTCATACTTGTTTAAAATAATGCCAAAAATCATTTCAAAATTAGCTGATTACTGACTACTGTTACTGCTACTGTTGTTATTGTTGTTGTTGCTGGTAGTACCAGTGATGATAGTAGTAGTGGTGGTGTGCTGCTGCTGCTGCTGCTGCTGTGCACCGATGATGATGAATGAATGAAATATAAACGAAACTAAACTATTTATTTGCATCAGCATTTCCACACTCATATTCCTTATTTCTTGTTAACTGCGATAGCAAGCAAGTAAACAACATCAGTGTGCAATACCAACAACAACAAAACAAATGTCTAGCAAATCAATAAGATAGAATGAAGTTAATATTATAATATATTGAAGAGAAATCCGACACAATACTCACAATCAACATCGATCATCATCATCCCTCGTTTCTCTTACACTATCTTTCATACTATCTCTCCTTTAAACACTACTTTATCCTCCTCTTCATATATATTTTATCTATATATGTATGCTTTATTACTAAACAAATAAGAGGATTTACACTTTACATTACTAATTTTGATTGTTAAATTTTTCATTGATTCATTGTATATTTTATTTCTTTTACTCACTATCATTTCACTATTATTATCCAAACAAATATTCTCTTCTATTTCTCATCTTCTATCATATTGCCATAAATTCCATATTTAAAGTACTAAATTGTTGACATTGCTAATTAAACATTATCAGCGTCATCGTCATTACTATTTACTATTACGATATTTAATATTACTACTACTACCAACATCACCTATATTGCTAATTAAACATCATTATTATGATTACCACTACTATTATCACTATCATTACAACAACTATTACCATTACTATCAGCAGCACCACAGTACTGCTACTGCAATCACTAAACAATCATTAATGATCAACATTTGTTGACATTTCATCTAACAACAAATTATTCTCCGAACAAACGAAAAAAATCGATTAATTTTGAAAATGAAGGGGGTACTAATTTCCATCTACTAAAATTCATTTTTCATCTCAGCTGGCAAACTTTGCTAACACTGCTATAGAATCTTCTTAAAAGCTCTTATAAACCTATATCATTACTTACTAAGTTCTACATCATTATTAATTAAGAGAATAAAAATGAACTTTCTGTACTCTCAATTTGTTGCTCATTCAATAATCTAAACAAACGTATCAGTTGGAAAGATGATAAACTACTGCTTGAAGTTGCTGTTGTATAAATGACAGAAAACCTCGTTTTCTCAAAAAAATAAATAAATAATTAAATAAATAATAATAATAAATAAAATGAAGAGATTTTAACAAATCCTTGCCTTCTTTTTGTTCGAAAGGTTTGCAAAAACTCTTAGGTTGACAGTTCAACTGCGATACCATTTCAGAGTTAGCAAAAACAGGATTTTTTAAACGATAATCATTCCTATTAATATAGGAAAAATATTATTTGTCATTTAGAAGTACAGAACAAGTATCGTTTGGAATAATTTATTACAATAATTGCTCTTCCTGACATTGTGTACAGAAAATAAATAAAAATAACAAAGTAGATGCATGAAAGAAACAATTGTTCAAATGCTTCAAACGCAAACAAACAAAATATTAGTTTTGGTAAACAACGTGAACGGAGTTGGAATTTTAGAACTCCTTCCAATCCCCCCCTCCTGGAAATGTGAGGGAAATTCTTAGAATCGAATTGTTTTATATACAAACGAAATATTAGTTTCGATCATTCAAATGATCAACAAGGTATGGAAATGCCTCCAATCAACCTTGTAAGTTCTCAGAAATACACTAGACATGTCTGGGAAATCCCTGAAATTGAAGAGATGTTTTATACATAAACAAAATAACAGTTTTGATCATCGACACTTTCTGTGATCAAAAAGATACGGAGTTAGACTTGCACAGATGCCTCAAATACGTCTTGGAAATTCCCAAAGCCGGCACAGAGGAATTCCTGAATCAAGAAACGATATGTCTAAGACACAAACAAAGTATTATTTCTGATCATTGAAATTACCGCTAATCAGCAAGATATGGAATTAGAATTGTATAGATGCCTCCAGTTCAAAATGATCTGGAATAATGATGCAAATTTCAAAATATTTTAAAATTAAGTATATAAAAATAATCAGCCATATTGTTGAACATGAGTTCATAAAAAAAGGATTATTGGAACACTCAGATTAGTGCCACACAACATTCGCCATATTCAACAGCAAAAAAAAAAACGGAATCAACATTAGTTAAAATATATTTAAAAAAAAAAAATCTGCAACAGAAACTAAAAACAATTTACAATGAAAAATAACAGCTGAAAAATATAAACGATAAAGCTACCCTCATCACGATGCAATCCTGATGAAAAAAATAAAAAAATATGCAATCACTGAAATTAATCATTTTCCATATCAACCTGCGGGTTTCTTTCAACATAAAATGCTCCCTCACGACGGTACATTTTCAGCTTCATCATATCTTCTAGTGAAATTATTGAATCTGAGCTATCGATAAGTTTGCAAATGACATCATACTTGCACTGTTTACCTTCAGCATTTCTTTCAGTATTCCGATTTAAGATAGCTACCATAAAGCTGTAAAATTTGTAATACATATCATAAAAGTTTGAATTTCCAAGTGTTAATCATTATGAGAGTCAGAAACTTTTCGCAGAGCAACGCACTGAATTTATGATAAATGAAGCGAGACGCCCTGAATTTTTTTTACATCTTTACAACTCTAGCTTAGCTAATCAGTGACCATGTTTTTAACAATACCATGATTCAACTTCAATAATTTTATATACATAAGATGAACCTACATGATATCATGATGTTCCAAACACTGAATTTTACTGAAAATCAATTATGCAGACAGTATAGTCTAAACGATTTCATAAGTGCCAGAAATCAATTCATAAAAGCCGGTTCTAGCATCACTTGCAGTGATATAGATTCGAAGTTAATAAAATACAAACCCGGCACCGAAATAAAATATGCGAATTGCCCATTTATGGTCGAAAAGTGTCAAAAGTAGTCGTAGAGATGATATTCGAATATCATTAAAAGGCTTGCTGAGATAAGAAATTATAACTGACGGAAAATTTTCACCGAGCCAGTTGAACCACTTCTGTGCGACTGCATCTGCATCGGCATCCTTCAAATATAGATAATTCGTTTGGGGTATTTGAAATTTTTTTCTTACTTGAATTCAGTATTTTTGTTTGCATCTTTTAATCGTACATTATATCAACAAATTACGATTATATAAAACGAAAAGTCTGAAGAAAATTGTAGGATAAAACTTATTAGGAAGCAGTTTTAATAATCGGTAATGAAATATTTTTTCAACGTGTCTGTTGAAAAAATGAGTATTAGGGGGTTCCCAAACTATTTTATTAACGATTAATAATGGCCAACAACAAAGCTTCCATACCGAAAAAAAAACTTAACATTCTTACCAAATATTTCAAATTTTATATAGTTCAAATTCGGAAAATTAATCTTAATGAACAAATGTAGCATTACCTCAACCTCATCTTTGACTTCTAACATCATTGATAAGGCACTGATATGTCGTACTCGCAAATCGAGTGGTCCAGTTGCAATAGCTACACCAAATGCATTCATTGCTCTTCTCATGTCACACTGCGCTAGAAGTGAAATAAAGATTTAAGGTTAGATTACAAAAACCTGATAAATTTCTGTCTGGATCTTAGTTAACTATTCAACTTATCGAAAGATAGAAGTCGATTATTTAATTTCCGAACAGAAAAAAATTTTTTTTCTAACCAGTAGAAAAACTTTTCAGAACAAAAACAAAGTATCTATTTCTAAAGCAAAACTTTACTACAATTATTATGCTGTCTATCCAGAAATTTCTTAGCACGATCGGTTGACCCCACAGCGGCCAGCGTATCAAAAGCAAGTAGACGTAATGAAGCATCCAATCGATCAAAATGATAAATCAAATCTAACAGTGAATCCAGAAATTTCGGAAACTGAGACAGACACTCCACACTGGCCACAGAAAGATGTCCAAAAAACTTGATAAGAGCTGCAAAAAAGATAATCAGATGGAAATTGTATAAAAAATTGGTTAAAATAAAGACATTTCCATATTTCAGCTCGTCGAATCTACTACCATTCTCTTTATTATTCATATTTCAGAATTGAGATTTTAAAGCTGAAGTTTGGAGAAAAAATACAACATTAATCGTAAACGTATATGTCAAAGACGAATCGTGCATACCAGGATAAAGAAAACCTGCATCCGGCTGTTCCATGCATTGAACAAACAATCTGTTAAGGTGGTCAACTATGCCTGTCGTTAATAAATATTTTGCAGTTGATATTTTCCTGAAGAAAAAGTTTACTACATTTAAATAGACCGGACACAAACAGGAAAAGAATAGAAAGATCTCTTTTTGCATCAAAATCGAAAATTTTTTTGAGAAGCCGAGTCAATCACATAACAATCTCTCCATTTTTAATGGGTTAGAAATAATAAAAGAAGTCTGAGCTGGTAATATCAAGAAAACAAAACAGATGTTTTCATAAGTGAAGAGACCATATTTTACCAAAAATATGAGGCGCTGTGAGTAACACCATGATTTAAATGATCCGTCAGTAATGGATCATTTAAGTGGATAGCATGAGTATTGTATCATTGAGAAACCAGTGGATTCATTCAACAAAGCAACACGGAGCTGAAGCCTTTCGTTAACACAAATTTTTACGTCTCTTTTTTAATAAGCAAGAAACTAACTGGGAAGCACCATCGGCAAACATTTCCACAGCATTGATTTGAATTAAAATATCATTTGATTCAAGTTCTTCCGCTAATCGACTGATCAGATTTCCGATTTTATGCAAATCGTTTCCTTCCTTCATCGCCAAAGTTGTAACCTATAATGAATGAGTGAGCAATTAAAATTTTAAACATCTGAAAAGAAAAAGCTCGAGTATTTAACACATTTTTACAACATTGGTGATGACATGAAATAGTGGCAAAGATTTTTTTTTAAAAAAAATTAACTATAACATGAAATAGTGACAAAAAAACTAAGCTTCGCAAACGATGGAGCCGTTTTATAACTTCCACAACAAATGGTGCGTTTATTGATAGTACCACTCCACAACAGAATAGATTCAATGTTACTAATGAAGAACTGCTCAATTTGTCTCAAAAAACGTCTCAAAAAGCGTTTTATGAAAATTTTACAAATTTTTTATTACAATTTTCGAATTTCTATAATATAAAATACTTCAACATTGCAAAAAAAGGACCTGGTGTATTCGAAATCGAACTTCAGCACGATTTGAATTTAGTTGATTCAACAATTCATCTTGCACCAATTTTAGTGAAGCGAAGCGTGTCAAAAGCTGAAAAATACTTTCTATAGAAATCTAAAAAAATAGCAAAATATACTGGATTAAAATGAATAGTTGCGTGACTAACATCGTAAGCTTCTTACTTAAAACCCATGTATGAGCTGTCTACAAAATCATGTGAACACAATTCTAAAGTTTTTCAATGATTTTAACTTACCGAAATGCAAAATAATCATAAAATCACTAAGATATCACTCTTCAGTCATTTATGTGCCTTATAGGCTAAACGCGCTTAGCATAAATGAGTCACCAATCGCATTAACACCAACATATCAAAACACAAACATGTGGTAAATAGCCTTGAAACGAACCTAGCACCTTCAAAGTTATTGTGTTTCCTGCTTGTATTCTCTCACTTGTATAATTTATGCGGTATAAATATTGAACAAAACTTTAGGAATTCTGGAAACTCTGATAAATTTTCATAAGTCCTATAATATACAATTGTTGTTTTCATTATCTAAACGTGTAAAGGTTCAAAAGAAGTTCCTATTTTTTTGTTTCTTTTGAAAAAAAAAGTCGAAATAAACATACAACAGCTATCGATCCAGCGCAATCGAAATCACAAACTCGTCGCGCAAATGCAATTGTTACAGCAATATGTGAATTGGAAAGCATTTCATCGACTTCGTCAATATGTCGTATGTAATAATCGACAAGCACATCGACAACTTTTGGATGGCTATTGTTTATTCCATTCAAGACCAGGATTTGGTGTTTCTCAGTTAAAGAAACTATACCAACAGTATCAAGAATACAAATGATCAAATCTTTCAAATCCGGAAATGCATCCCTAAAAATATTTCCAATATTTCGAAACTACATAAAAATATACCAATATCTATCCATAGCAGGCAGTATTAGTTATTTTGACACCATAACAGTCGATAAGGAATTTTCAATTTATGCCTAACAACCACCAAAAAAAAAAGACGATCTACTAGCAAACACTATTTTATGTCGGGAAACTTAGCGTAAAAGTTTTTACAGAAACACATGCACGAAAAACTTAGCTACACAAACGTACCAGTCAATATGCTCAACATTATGAGAAAGCAGCTTCTGCAGCATTTCGATAGCCTTCACTTCTGTACGTTCTGCTAGCAGATGCTGCTTCATATCGTAAAATGTATCAATGTCATATGCTGTATCATTTGTCGGTGAATCGGCAATGTTTTCAATGTTACTATCTCGCATGTTGTCTATAATTTGTTTCTCTATTAGATATTATTTTTGATAATCAACCAAATATATTTTGAAACAAATGATATTATCACTAAGATTAATACTCAGAACTGAAAGTATGGGTACTACTACTACTACCCAAAGGAAATGAGAAGAAACTATCCGAATATTTGAAGCAAATCCAAACGAGAAACGAAGACCAAGACAAAAAAGTAAAAAAAAAAAAAAAAAAAAGAAACAATACAAGGAGTAACAGAAATGAAAAATTTCACTTGATCACTCAGTGTGCAAAATAAAAATGAAACTAATCCATCTGAAACATACCTTTTCTATCATTAGTAAATTCCTTTACTTCCTAATAAAATCCCTCCAACTGCCTAACGTAAATGCACTTTAAACAATATTCTCAATCCCTACTGTCTCTTTACTTTTCATACATCCTCATTCTAACCTTTTAACACGTCCACAATCGAATTGAATCCATCTTCCCCGCCAAGCATTAAATGGTAGAAGAGACAAGCTAACAGAAATAAACCCTTACTTATTTATCTGTCACTTGTAAATTTATACAGTCTATCATCCACTCTCTCAATCACTTTCATACAACTTTTAAATTCCATAAATCTCTACCCATCTTCAACCAACACATTCTCTCTCCCGCCCATAACAGTAAACACGTCATCCATCGATCAAACCAATCATGAATCAAACCTGAAAGATAGAAACCACCTACGCGATATGAAAAAATTTTCCAGTCGCGCTACGAAATATCAAGCATCTCAATGGAGTTATAAAAATTTTCAATTCTAGTTCAGTTTCAAGTTCGTTCTATATGGCCTAACTATTTTTTTTTATAAGGTCCAAAGTGTGAAATAATTACTAATTGAATAACAGTTACGAACAATTTCTCAGTTATGAACAATGCATCGTAAAGCGTTAATTATGATCTTAATAATTTGTTGATATTTATTACATTATATCACAGATTACAACACCATAAATTGGTTAAAACTTAGTTTTAAAGCAACCAAACAACAAAACATTATAATACGCAAAAAATGAAATGCTTTCTCAAAAAAAAGTAAAAAAAACACACCAAATAGTTTATTTAGAATAAAATTAGAAATGCAGTTGAGAAGAAAAAGTTCTCCAATTAAGCAAAATAAATAATTTTGATAAAATCCGTAGAATCTTTTCTTTCTTTTTAAATAGAAAAAGCGCATGTATATATTTCTTTTTTAGTGGTTATTTTTATTAACATAAATGTTTTTTTAGTTTTCTTCATCCAAATTATTTAATTACAGTTATTTTTATTTTTTTTCTTTATTTTTTCTGTCATATTTTTTGCTATGTCTATGCTAAAGTTCGTTTAATATTGCTAAAATTTCTTTTTTTTTAAAAAAAAATAAATTTGCCTGAAATTTTATGGGTTGAAATTGAAAACATAAATGGAAGCATAAGACTTCAGGTAAAATATTTATCTCATTATCTTTTTTATTTTCTTCTTATGAACCAGCTATATTAAGTACATTAAGAAAAATGTGTAAAATAAAAAATGTATGACAAAAAGTTTTTTCCTTTTTAGCCAATAATTTTTGGATTATATATATATATATATTAAAAATGGAAAGTGAAAAGGATCTAAATGAAAATTGAAATTTTACTTGATGCTCACTTTGAGTCCTTTCATACAGATTTGTATGAGGAAGAAATTGAAATGTGAAGAGATTTGTGATAAAAAAATAAAATTTTGAAATGCAAGCACTTTCAAATTTATCACAGCATTTATCATACTTTATGCCGCATCATATCATAATTCATTTGATTCAAAACAAATAGAATAAAGAGATGAAATTACTTTTTTTTTAAAATGAAGTTTCACTTGAAGTTACAGTTTATACGAGCGAACATTTCTTCAACAAGACTACGTAGCAAGAATTGCAGTAACAATGTGATAGCACTTAAAATGATTAAAATACTGTGATAGGTGATAGATGATGAATTCCAATCGGTAAATGTTTGTAGCAGTGATAACGGGAAATACATCACTTCGAAAAAACTGATTAATGCCATAAGAAGCTGAAATAAAAATTTTATTTAAATTAAAATCTTTTATTAGTATTAACAGGCAAGAAAAATGGAGAAAAAAGCAAAGGAAAGAAAAATTGAATTATCATATCGTTGTTATGAATGGCATTTATAAATTTTTTTCATTTGTTATTAAAGTGCGATTATATTTTTTTTATAGAAGAAAAATTATAATTTATAACAGCAATCATTTTTCTTAAGTAAATTATTCATTAAATAGTGTATTAAATGTTATAATTAATGGTGACGTTACTCTCTATAACAATATCTGAGAGCATTTGTTTTACTTTTTTTAGAAGAAGAAAAATGTAATTTAAATTTAACAGTATGAAATTATAACAGCATGGAATAGAATTTATATTTTAATATAACACTATGGAATAAAATATCTCTTAAGTTAAATTGCTACACAAACGAGATAATGCATAAATCGTTAAATATATTAATTAAATTAATAAGAGCAAAGTAAAGAACTAATAATAGTATTTCAAATAATGTCATTATTTCGGTGATTTCAATATGTATATTTTTTCTTTGAATTGAAAATAAAAAATTTTGCCGCCTACATTGAATTTTTACAAATTACAATCAGAAACTTGAATTTGAATAGTTTTTTGTTTTAATAAAGTTTGGTAACTAAAATTACATCGTTAAAGGTTGTGTGTAATTTTTCTTTTCATATGCAACTAAATTTTGCAGCAACTTCATGGAAATTTTAAAGTTACTTTAATTGGAATGCAATAAATCTAAATTTTCCTCGCTAATTAAAATTTTGTGATACTATTTAAAAACATAAATTTGAAACATCTGGCCATAAATAAAGTGATACTACTGAAAAAAAGAAAAAAAAATTAAAACATCTGGTGACAAATAAATTAGTCATGCTAATAGAGTTATCGATTTCATCCTGTTTTTTCTTTCCTAAATTTTTTTAAATTAATAAAATAGCACTGCTTCATGAAACTACTCTTTTTTTTCCACTATTTTTTTTACTATTTTCCAATTATTTTTTATCAACACTCACGCTTAAATCTCATTAAAAATTATTCAATTTAGGGAGTAGCAAATTTGCTAACTATTTCTCTTTTTCAAATATAAATTATATTTTTTGAAAACAAAAAAAAATTGAAAAAATAAGTACATTTGTTAAAATTTTTAATAGAATTTTGATTTCTTCTTCTTTTTTCGTTCTTTTGCTTTTCATTTTGATACTGCATCTAATTTTTTTCTTTTTTTAATCATTATTTACTTCAATAAGAGCGTAATTTTAGCGTAATATAATTTGCTGCTTTTACTTTTTTGCTTCTTTTCTTTCATTATGACTAGTGAAGGCATTAAATACGAGTTAAAACTACGCCTTCCTTTTTTTAAGCCTATCTAGAAAAAAATTAAAGCTATGAAATTTTAAATTACGAAAATGTTGGAAATTGTGCCATTAATTGATTTACAAGAATATAAAAAAAAAGTCTCACTGATTATAAATGCATTAAATATAAATTAATTATTACAAAATAATAAACCAAAAAATGAATAAATAAACAATAAAGTAAATAATAACAAATCGAAGATGGTATAATAAACAAAAAAAAGTAAATATGTTTATAATGATTTCATTGTATGAGCATAATATTGCATAAAGAACATTATCGATTAGTTTCATAGATTATCAGCAATCAATATATGATTGAGATCGGAAATAAATGAGTGGATGAATGAATAAATGAACCTACCATACTTAACAAATATCCGTGAAAGAATGAATCATACATTGAACCAAATATTCGTTCCCAAATACGAAGTAATAGGAATATGATAGCAATACTACAGCAAAACACTGATAAAGAGATAAGGATGGAATTAACGACTGTATGTGGAAGATAAGTGTACATGAATAAACTGAAATAAAATTTTGATAAATCTGTCAAATTCTGTTCAAAAAAAAAAACAATGATTGAAATGTGAAAATTGGAATTTTTGACATTTAAATCCAATTTATAATAAATTAATGATATATTGAAAGGAAAAAAAGGAAGAAAAAGCTTATTGGATTATAAATATCAATCAGAAATCTAGTGATATAACTTCAATACTAATTTATAGGCGATATTGTGAGGATTTTTGAAGAAACAATCTCAAATGGAAAAAGTTTAGGATGATATTGTAGTGTCAAAAAAAGAAGACAAAAGTTGAAATTATCTTTTTTATGTATTAATCTGCATAAATGCTTAAAAAAAAAAACTTTTTGCCTCTTCAATGCAATTATTTAAAAAAATTTTTCATTTTTTTTTTTGACAAAACTTATCAAACTGATGAAAATAATGAAATTATAATAGTATTTATTGTACAAGATTTAAAAAAAAAAATTGAAATTTAAAATTTTACTAATAGTTTTATCAATAAAAGTGTTTAAAATTGAATTGATTTTTTATTATCTTTTGCAAAATTAATGCTTAATGAAAGTTTATGTTGAGTGAACTAACTGAGTGCTTTAAAATCTGACACAAGTGAATTTAATTTGCCTGTAATTTATTTAGTAAATAATAAAATGAAACAAAATACGCAAACTCAGAATGGCTTTAATCTAAATGGAAAAATAATTGGTTAGTGTTGAAATATTGAAAATGATTTTTTATTTTTCTTTCTTTTTTGAATAAATTTGTTATTGGCTGAATTAACCTGGATGTTAATGTTAGACTAATTTGCGCAAAGGTACAAAGAATGGTGGCGGAATATAATGTTAAACCACAAATTGCAAAAATGCCGTTGCCATCATCATTTCCGCTGTTATATGGTAATGAATGTTTTTCCATATCTGAAAGTATGCAAAAAAGAAACATAAAAACAAGGAACTACAAAACTTAATTAAAATTGCAATTAATTAAAATTTAAATTTAAATTCGTATAAGGTTAAAATTTCTGATAAGTGACTAGTTCACTCAAAAGATTGCCAACAAAATTGTTGAATTAATATCATTCTTTTTTTGCGATACTATAATATCATAGATAATTTGTGATGTTTAAATGTTATCAAAAAAAAAAAAAGAAAAATTTATTGTATGTGTGATAATATTCTAACATCTTAAATCATCACTGTTATTACAGCATATGCAAGAAAAGAAAAGGTGAAATTATTTATGGTATATATTAAATTTTATCACTCAGTGCTGCTACTATTGCAACAAATTCGTCGTTTTACAAAATATATTAAAAATTTTAAATTGGTAAAAGTCGAAATAAACAAAAGAACGAAAAAAGCAAAAGAACAAATCAGTTAAAATTTCTAGTGGGCCAAAAGATTGAAATAAATAATAAATTAAAATAAAGGAATAAGAATTAAAGAAAGTAAAAATTTTCATAAAATTGATAGAAATTTCATATGCCTATAAGTATACACATATGTATGTAATGATATATGTTAAAGTGAAACACAAAATCATTGTTCATTTCTGTATGAGAAACTAATACAACTAATTACTTCATTCAACCATATGAACAAAAAAAGAAGTAAGGACTTGAAAAGGATGGATGCTCTTGTTTTAAAGAAGGCCTTAAGGAAGGCTGAATGAAGAAAGGAGGAAGACCTTTTGAAAAATGCATGTGAAAGAGAAGAATAACGAATGTTAGTTAATATGCTTCTTTTTTAACTTAACAAATAATATTAAGTTTAAATAATAAGAATGTTGATAATAATGACAATTAGTAATGATAATGATAATAATAATAATAATAATAAAGTCAAAATTCTAATTTGTTGTTTTTAATCGAAATCACACCTTTTTCGAAAATGGAAAAATAGAAATTAAATTTGGAAATGATTGATTGATTCATTTATGCCTCTTTTTTTAACAATAATTGTTATATTTTGCTGTTAATAACTATCATTAAATAAACAGCTGTTGCACAAATTTTGATTTTTTCAGAAAAAGAGCTAAAATCCAAAATAAAAGAAAAGAATAAAGAAAAAAAGAAAAGAAAAATCAATTGAAATGAAGCATATTTGAATTCTGTGTATGAAATGTTGACATTTTGTCTTTTCATTTGACATTTTGAATTCCTCACCAAATCCTGAAAAAAACCAAAAAAATAAAAACCAATAGGTAAAAATAAAAATCAACAAATATATATTAAAACATCAAAACAAGACAAAAAACCATTATATACTCTAAATTTTCTTCGCTTCAAAAGAAGTGAAATTAATTTTGATTTTTTTGAAAATTTAAAAAAAAAAAAGAAAATATATCAAAATTTAATTATGAATAAAATAAGGTGGATTAACATTAAAATCAATTCTTACATATAACAAATGATTAAAGTAAAAGTTAATAATTATATCATCTTACAATTAATAATTTAAAGGAATGACAAGTAAAATGGAATGAAACAGAAAAGCGGGCTGTGAGGGTTAAATAGCTATGTTTTAATTTTAAACTATTAAAAATATTTCAAGATGGCATGCGTGTGTGTATGTGTGTGCATGTGTGTGTGTGTGTGTGTGTGTGTGTATGGATAAGTTAGAATTAGCCATTTTGTATATTTGTGGCTCATTAGAAAATATTCATTTATATAGTAAATGAATTGCGATTATCAAATGAATGGAAAATTTAATTTCAATTGATGGTCGTTTGTGCGTAATGCGTTGCGTTTTTTCTTCATTTTTTTTTTTTTTTTTTTTTGATTTTCTTTTTTTTTATAACTTTAAAAAAAAAAAATGTTTCTTTGACTTGTTAATTGCGGTAGTATTGAAAAGGTAGCAAACTGAAATTGTTATTCATATACTTTCTAATTTTTTTTTTTTTTTTTTTGATGAATATGCAGAAATATGAAATTGACTCAAACATATCATTTTCATTTCAGTGATAAAAACAAAATAAGATAATCATTGTAAATGTAAAATTAAAAAATAAAATGAAAAAGAAAAAAAAAACGTACTCTCAAAGTCGAAATCTCACATTTATTCGTTTCATCTGATAAATTTTTCAACGATTAAAAGTTTAGGGATTGTAAAAAAAAGAAAATGAAATGAAAAAAAAACTACTACTTTCAAATAATAATCAATAAAAGTGAGTATATATCCATTTAATTTGCTTCAGTCATATTTACTAATTATTTTGACTGTAGAAAACGAAATCAAAATTTGGATGCAATATTGTTCATTTTTTTTTGCCCAATATTGATGCAACTGAATATCAAATAAGTATTTTCATAATTTATTCTTCAAAATTTTTATTAAACAAATCTATCGTAATTAACAGTAATGAAATTAACAAATGGAAGAAGTTAATATTTTATTTTTTGGTCTCAATAATCAATAAAATAAACAAAATATTCTGTAAATGTTTCGAATAATCTTTAACATTTAAATGTTATATATTTTTTTTTTAGAATCATGTTTTTCTACTATCATATTAAAAAGATAAATTCAAAAAAAAAGAAATTGGAAAAAGCTCTATCAGTCAGATTATTTAATAGAAAATTTTATTTTCTCTCTTACTTCTATTTAAAAAACAATTTATTCCTTTTTTATTTACAGTTCAATTACTTTACAACTTTTCATACTATCCTTTTCCTCTACTTTTTTTTCCTAGAAAAATAAAAGTTTGAATAATACGGCTATAACACATTTTTAAAATTGCGAGGAAAATAGACACATACGAAATTAATTTTAGAACTTGATGTGCAAAATTAATTAACCCAACTAAATGCATGAAATTTTCAAAAGAAAAAAAAAAGAACTTAAAAGATGTCCCAACAAAAATTGAAGCAATTTTTGACAATTAAGAAACATCATTGTTTTTTTTTTTTTTTTGCTATGAACAATTTTTTTTCTTTCTTTAATCAGAAAAATCTGATTGGCTTCTTTAAGAGAACTAAAAATGGTAGGATTACTGTAATGCATTGATTTAATTTTGCATAAAAAAAAAGCAAACAAAAAAAGATTTAGAAAATAATATTAGAATTAGAACTTGTCAGTGTTAATTTTACGAGCATAAAATTCCTATTTAAAATTAAATTAGCAATAGTTCGAATTATTTTAATGATATTCAATTTTTGACTTTAATACCAAAAGCTTTGTTATTTAAGGCTTTAATACCGAAATTTCAATGCTACTGAAAAAGATGGTTTACGTAAATAAACCTATTACCGAAAAGATATTGTTACACGTTTTTTAATTATTTATAAAAGTTTTTTAATATATTTAACATATAAATTTCATTAAACATTGTCTATTCACTGCTATCATCCATTTATCAGTTTATTAACACTTATTTATTTATTCTTATAATTTTTATATACTGACAATATGTTTTGTATGTTTTATAAAATGAGTTATCTTTTTAAGAGTTATTTCGACGAAAAGTGATATGTGAGATATGACAACCTATTATTAATGATTATTTTTAGGAGTATTCTGAAGGAAAAAACTCATAATCCTATTTTAAAGCACAAATATTGCGATGTTTTGAAATTAATTTTGATAAAAAAAGCTCGTCAGTTTTTTTGATTTTTGATTGTCTTCAATTTAAATTATTTATTTAAGTTAGTTAAATGAAACTAGAAGAATCGAGGAATGACGGGAAAATGAGAATATATGGTGACACTCGAATCAGTCGTTGACAATAAATCTTTTTTTTGTTTTGCTTTTAAAATCACTTTTTCTCAAGATTTTCTTTTGCTTTTCATGACCTTTACTGAAGATATAATAGGATTGATTGCCAATCAATGAATTATTTTAGTCGCAAATTTGAATAAAAAGCTTAATTAAAATTTCTAATTATTGTTTATTTTACGATAGCATAAGAATTCTAAAAATTTCAATTTCTGCAATACGCTAATGTTCTAAAGTTTGCTATTAAATAATAATCATTTGACGAAATTAGTTTCAAAATTATTAAATACATATTATCAGGAACAGATATTACAAGAAAATGGTCCATTATAACGAACAGATTAAGCCAGAATAGGTGATAATATTATATATAATAGTAATAGTAGTAATAAATAATAATAGTTAGTAATAATAATAATAATTAGTAATAATAAATGATAATAATGACAATAACAATAAGAATATTAATATCAATAATAATATAATAATAAGTAATAAAGCAGTAATAATAATAATAATAATAAATCTTTGAAACCAAAAATCAAAAGTTTTTTAACTCATGACATTTGTTCAGCAACTAAATTGTAATAGGCCGTGATCGATTATTTCAGATAATAGAATTTCTCCGGCATTCATGAAATTTTACTTCTTCATCCTTTCAGCATCCTTGAGATTACACCTTATCATCATTGTTATCATGATAATCAGCAAGCATTAAAATGAATACTGATAAATCAGTTTTGAATTATTTTGGTAAAAAATATTTCACCGTTACACGAAATCATCTACCATTCACTAATGGTTACAAAATGCTCAGTGATTGATTATGGCAGTTTATTTTTCACACTTTTCTTGAAAACAATCAAATTTGCAAAGATTATTGATGACACATCCTTTCAAAACAAATGCATACACATTTGTTACGCTATGAGTGCAGTTGTCATTGAAATAGTATGCTAATATCATCACTATATGATTTGCCTGATTATCAAAATTATGATTATTATTGCTGTTATTATCATTGTTATTATTACTATTATTATTTTCATTGTCATTATTATTATTATTATTATTATTATTATTATTATTATTATTATTATTATTATTATTATTATTATTATTACTATTAGATTTTCGGATGCGAACAAACAAATTTTTTTTTGAAGCGAAAATTCTTTCTTAGTTCGGTTTTCGATATTTTAAATTGCTTGTTTTAACAATTCTAACAAGCTATAATTTCCAGTGCTGGGTTGAGTGAAACTCTCAAGCATATATTTTACTAATCCATAATATTATCGTGTTTGTACAATGTAAATATTGCAGTATACTTCTATTAAATTCAAAAATAGCTAAGTTACAGTAACAACTTTATTTAAGTAAATTATCCACTAATCCTATCGTAATTATAGATCCTTTCTTAATCTCACCGAGAAAGGATAATAATGAATCAATTAATTAATTGTAAAGTAAAGAAGTAAATTAAAAAAAAATTGAATGTGATTTGATAAAAAAAGTTCAATTGAATTGATAACAAAATTAAAGCAAAACTTTTGAAAAATAGCAGATTCGAATACTTTTTTCTCCAAAAATTTAGATGAAACTATTGAACTTTTCGAACTTTTGAAAAAAATAAGTAGTGGAAATAATGAGAAAATTTGAGAAATATATAAAAGTATCAATAAGCAAATGTCTTTTTTTTTTCTACATTCTTCAATAATTTTCAGTCTATTTCAGAAAAAAGAAAAAAAAGGCAAAATGAAAAATATGAAATCAAAAAAAAAAGACAAGAATGATTTGAAGGTACATATTTTGTTTTTTTTTTTTATATAAAGCGAAAATTTTGACAAAAAGAGAAGCCGACAAAATAATGTTAAAGAAGAAATGATCAACATGGGATTAATTTAATTCACATTTGAAGGATCATTTTCCACTTTTTTCGTTTTGTCTTCTTCATTTTTAGAACACTCATAAATGATAGCAGACCAGTTATAAGATTAAAGCGTAATTGTCAAGGGAAAGTTTATTTTAAGAAGCAGTGAATGGTGAAGAAAAGAAAAAAGTCAACAAAGTGATGAAGAACATTTCAATATTTATTAGCTTATTATGTATTATTTATTCTATTATAAGTAATTTTTTTTAATGAATGGCTACTTGCAAAATATTCATGTTTATATATTCACGCCATTTTTTTTTTCAAAAATTTACTTCATTATGCAGGAAAAATTGAAAAAATCTCTGTTTTATCTGAATTAAACAAGAAATTAGGTCAGATAACAAAGAATAAAAAAAAAATTTGGAAAACTACAGTTTAATTTAAAACGAAATTATATTTAAAATTTTTCATAAAGAAATTTTAAAACTCCTTTAAATGGTCAGGAAACAATTACGCTATCTTAGCGTAGTATTTGTTGGTTAATTTTTAATTACAAATTAAATAATTTCAATTTATTTATTCATTTGTTTTTGTTTGTTGTGATCATTATTCAAGTTTCTGTGATAATGATATTAACATTACTTAGCTTATCTTTTTGAAATAACAATAAACCATTTTAAAAATCACTTATAATATCAGTAGTGCATGTAACTATACAAAAAATATGAAAAAAACATTTGTTATCTGTAATTATAGTTCTGAATGTAACACTAAAAGTTAAATATTATTACTAAAAAAGATTACTTTCTCAAGGAGCGATTTTTAAATGACTGTTTTTATGATGAAGTATTTATTATTATTAATATAGATACTCGCCATTTCTAAGAGAATTAATTAATTAATTAATATAAGCTGCCAATCTTAAATGCAACTTTAATAAAGGTTCTTTTTAATTTTTTTTAAAGAGGATACAAACTTAAAAAAGAATTGCCGTAGAACAATTTTCTAAAAAATGGATAGAATGTAAGCAAAGGAATTTAATTATTATTCTTTTCTGCAACTTCGCTCAAATTTTTCGCATAGTGCTAATTTCATAATGAAATCACAATTTGTAGCAGCTATAACTAATGATGAATACAAAACGTTAGCCTTCCTGTAATTCACGATTCTGCGTAGTGAAGTAGTATTAACGTACGTGAACACATATTACAACGTTAAATTTTGTGTAGTTGCAGTTTTATAAGTGTTCATAAATCATATTTGTTTGTTCCAGTAAATATCTGTGTTAATTACACCGGTACTTATGATATCATTTCATGACATCATTTGAATATGAATTTATCAATTGGTAATAGTTATCAGTTGGAATACCTAATGTCATTTTCAGTGGTAGCGCAATTTATTACGTCACTTCTTGGTTATAGCGTAATTTATATCGCTAAATTTGAATGATAGTTGAAGCTTTCACAAAATATTACTCACTTTTATCTGTATTTAAAAAAATTAGATCTTCATAAAAATTGTCAAAAATTTTTCACTTCATTCTAAGGTTACAATAATTTAATAATATTTAATTTATATAATACAACAAATAAGTAGCTGATTGCCTTCAAGTAAAAAATACATTTTATTAAACATATATATATATATATAATGAAAACATTTGAAAATTTTTAAAAATAAGCAGTAATCGAAGTAAAACAAGAAAAAAAATAGTGAAAGTAATCAATCTCTGATTGTCCTTCCGAATTAATAAAATTTAAACTTAAAAAACTGAAAAATTCTAGTAAGAAGTTGATAATAATAAAATTGTATTCGACAGCTTTCTAGCTAGTCTTTTTATTAACAATTTAGCAAAATGTTGACTAATGAAATATTGAAAATTTTTAATTTTTTTTATAAAATTTTACAATAATAATCAAATACATGCAACAACATGATTCCTGTGACATTCAACAAAGACATGCAGTAATTTTATCAGAAATAGTACATCTCATGATATGAGTACAGTACCTTACCGTATTTTATAATAATTCATTTTCAAAATTTCTTTTTCTCTAAAATTTTAGATGCAATTATTCAAAAATATTTGAAACAAAATTTTTGGAAAAAAAAATGGAAGAACAAATGAAATTAAGAAAAAAACAACTCTAAAATATAAAATAATGTTAAGTAACAATCATTTATAGTATGCAAATCATAAAAAAAAAATTTTTTACTGAAAATATTCTAATTAAAGTTTAAAAATTAAACATGGGCCAAATATTTCAAATTTCTAGATTAGTTATTTATTTAACCAATCATTTAATTAATGAGATTATTACAAAACTATATCCATACTCAATTTCTTTTGCCTTCAAAAATGATATTTTGCCTTTTCGAAATTTAATAATGCCAAAAATTATCACTGTAATTTCACAATTGGTCTTTGAATGCTTTGTAAAATGACTGAACATAGGTGAAAATACATTTCCAGTCGGGTCGATCACCCATTAGCAACATATCATCCACTTCAAGCAATGGTACAATACCATTTTGTCTGTAATAATTTCATAAGTTGTGTATCATTTTTTTTTTTAATTTCTCTGTGATATAAATTTGAAAATTTATGAAATATTATGTTCTTAAATCTTTTGAAAACAATTCATTATAAAATTTAGGAATTTTGCAAAAAAAAAAAAAAAAAAAAAAAACATTATATAAAAATGTTTGCATTTATATTTTTGATTGATTTTCATTGCAATATATTTACATTGATTATTGCTTCATGCGATTATCTGCTTAAAATAAATTAAATTTATATAAAAGAATAAATGTAAACTTTAAACGAAATAAATAGTTTAGCAAAAAAATTTGCAAAAAAAAGGAAAAAGGGAAAACAAACTTACTCGGCTACCCTAAATGCTAACTCTAAATTTTCTCGTCGATTTCTTGGATTTAATTTATCAAAATCAAACGAATCAGGCACAAATCGATGTATCAATGCGCAAAATGCCATTCCATCAGCCCAACATGATGAAAAATTTGTAATTTGAACCTCAAAAGCTTATTCCTTTCATCTTTTTATTATAATTAATTGAAATTGATTGACCAACTAGGCGAAATTAATTGTTCATGACGAAATTCAGTTATTACTTATTTATTACAATTGCAGTTAAATGAGTAAGTTATGAGATATTCAAAATTGGCTAATACTGTAATCAAAAAAATAATATTTGCATGACTTTAAATATTAACATGTTGAAGTATAAATTTTTAGTTGCAAAAAATTCCCACAAATTTTTCATATTTAAAATTGTGCGAAATTTGTCAGTGGTACTTACAGGATAATTTTCCAATTTAATTTGACACCATCGTAAAAGCGCATTTTTTACTGTTGATGGATTGAATGACCGCGCAGTTTGCTGCTGACTGAAATTTAAAAAAATCATCTTTTTAAGACCGCTGGAGTACCTGATCAATTTGAATGCTTATTTTTTTAATTACAAATCATTCATTATCATTAATATTAATTATTAAGCAGTTCTAAAAAAGTTTAAAAAAATAAAATTATCATCACTGCCACATATTATCACAAATAAATCGCTAAGTGCTGAAGAAATATTTGATAGAGCAATTGGGTTCCATCAGAGTGATAACGCATGTCAGCAAGGATAATATGTGATAAGAGATAATGACTAAATGATATTTCACGATATTTTATGCTTATTTTTGAAAACAATAGAAAATAGCATGATTATAGATTGATTAAATTCACCAATAAAACATTTTAATATTTTATTAGTCTGTCATCCTAAATCATTATCGTTACTACTATCATCGTTATCACCGTCATTATTAGCAATGCAGTAAATAATAAATCGGTAACTTGTATTTTATATTTATATGCAATTTTCTGATAACTTCATTTATGTGAAATACTCCTGTTAAATATTTGTTGTAGTAATTTAAAGTTTGATTGTTATAGAAAGACTTCTTATTGATATACCAGAACCGGGTAACTAATTACACCGAAACTGGGTAACTAATTAAAACTATTATCAGTTAATAACAAAAGTTCATAAAAGATCCATTTATAGATTGTGATAAATCCAATAAAATAAATTAAACCTAGATTTTGCCAGCTGCTAAATTATTATCATAACTAAATGTATGTTAATCAATATAAAATTTTGCTTTCCAAAAATTTAAAAAAAAAAAAAAAAACAAGGAGGAAAATATTTTAAAAGCATAAACCTTGATCGGTGCATTTGATCCATCTGCTTGAAAACATTAACCTTCGACATTTTATCGTTGTCTGTAAAAAAAGAAAAAAAAATTACGGAAATAGAGAGAGTGTGTGTTTAAGTAAGTAATAATTTAATTCTAACGGATAATTTATTAAAAGTTAAAGAAATAGAAATCATTTTTTATGCTATCCACTGCTATTTCAACTTCAGTTTTTCTCAGTGAAAATTTGATTCCAATTTTATTTTTAACTTACGGAGAAAGAAAGAGCGGCAGATGATTTTTATTGGCAAGATAAACAGTTGTTTCAATTTAAAAAAATATTCACTGGTAGTTTCGGTGTTCTACTTTTTTTTTTTTTGGATTGGGACTTATAATTTTTTTTTTCTTTCTTTACATTAAATGTATTAAGTATACAGGCTGATAATTAAACTTAATTTGAATGAGATATCAAACTAAAATTTACAAATATGATCTGAATACGATGATATAGGATAGTATCATGATATGGCTGGAGAATATCATGAGAAGATTTATAATGAATGTAGTTTCAGATCATTCTACATCCATCATAAAATATTGATAAAGTCTTTATATAACATTAAATAAAGATTGTAATGTTTGAACTATTATGAATTCAATAAATGGAATTTAAAATCTATCATTAATATTGGTTTTCTGTTATTAAAAGCTTTGTTATTTATATTTATATATTACTTGAATGTCTATTATTCTTTATTTACTTCTGTTTATTTATTTTCATCAATTAATTCCTGCTGAATTATGCAAAATATTGCAAGTTTCCAAGCATAAATCCATAAATTTTTTTTAAAATAAAACTTGCTAAATTTTTTAATAAAATGATTATCGAATAAATACAATCCTCTAAATGAAAAAAATATTTGGATAAAATTATTTTATTTAAATGCTATCAAAAATTTATAATATTTATGCGTGAGCACTAAGAAATGCTCGAAAAAGCCGACATCATGATATCACATGAAATTAGTGGATGAATTTATCAAATAACGTTGACATATGTCAAATTTAAAAGTTAGATATACTGAAAAGATGTATTATCATTTTTTATTATTTGTTTATTTTATTGTTATTATTATCATTATTAATATCTATTATTATTAATATTAATATACGAAGAGAAATTGGTTAATTTTTAATAATTAATTCATTTGTTAACTTATTTTATTAAAATGGTAATATTTATATACGATTGAAGTTCATATTTTTCTGACAGGAAAAATTTAACTTATTGCAGTTACACTAAGTTTATCTGGCATTTATGAAATGCAAGAATGATAAAAAGAAAGGCAATTCTTTCAAGCTAACATTTATCAAAATATCAGTACTATTTGATATAACTGATGTTTGCATGAATCACTAGTTTAACTTTTATTTGTTGAAGTTTGCAATTTACGATTTATTTTCATCAGAGTAAAAAGCTCCAACTATTTTTTAAAAATTGCATTTATTGAACAAATCATCGGACAAAAATTATCTAAAAAATTAAACCTAAAAAGAAAAAAAAATTCCTTGGTAAAAAATAAAATTATTTCTAAAAATAAAATCCAATTAAGGAAATTTAAAAATTGTTTCAATAAAAACATTCATCTTTAAAAAAAATACCTTTTTTTTTTTTATCATTCTTACATTTCATAAATGCTAGTTAAACTTAATGTAAGTTCAATAAACCAAAATTTTCATTTAAAAAAGAAGTGCAAACTTTAAACCTATTTGAAAGTTATTATTTTAATAAATTATGTTATCATATGAATCAATTGTTAGAAAATAACCATTTTCCTTTTGTTGCATTAATAGAGATAATAACAGTAATAATAAGTAATGAACAATAATGACGATGATAATGATAGCAAAAATAAGAATAATGGTGATGACAATAATAGTATTAGTATTAATAGTGGTAGTGACAATAAAACAATAATAATTATGATAATAATAATGAAATAGCAATAGTAATAAAATAAAAATAATAATAAACAATAATAAGGATCGAAGGCTGATGATGCATCTAATAATTTTTTTTAAAATGTCTAACTTTTAACTTTCACGTATATCAACGTCATTGAATAGATTCATTCATTAATGCATATGACACTATAATTTTTTCATTTCGAACATTTATCAGTGCTCAGTGCTTTTTTGAAACTAAATTAATCGAAAATTTGAGAAATTACTAATCTATTGTTTAATTCTATTTTGCTTATAAAAAAACTTGCAAAACTTTCACGAAATATTTTTTGGAATTAATTAGTATTGTATTATCGGCTATGTTTACCTCATTACTATGATATTACCTTAATTCACCTAAATGATTTGCTTACTTATTCTGTCTATCATAGTAACAACTTGATATTTGTACCATTCATCTATTCAGCCATTTGTCTTATTGGTCTGTTCTGTTACCTGTCTCATTTACCTGAGTTATTTGTATTACTTTTCTACCCTAACTATTTGTTCTAACTGTCTCTGTCTCATTGATTTATTATCAAATTACTAGCAATCTTCCTCATTCATACCCACACATATCGTACAAAGTAATAAACAATATAACTTGTTTTTCAAATAATTTAGCTTCGAATAAAATATAATTAATTAACTTTCAAAGTTTAATTATTAAGAAATTTAGAAATAATCAAAATAATATAGGAATAACAATAAAATATCATCTTTGCTCAAGTCAAGTAAAACTTCAAAGAAAAAAATTTGATAAAAGAGATGGACATTAGAATGACATAGTAAAAATAAGAGAGAGAGGGAGAGAGAGGGCGAAAGAAAGTTCGATAATGGCTGAATTTTGTTATCAGTAATAAAATCTTCACAATGCTATTCCTCATTCTTATTTATTAATTATTACAACTTCCGTTAATACTGCTTACTATTTGAAATAAATTCGTATAGTGAATTGAATTTGAACTTAATGGTATATTTGTGATGCAAATGAACAAGAAATTTAATAATGCATTTGAAATTAAATCAATTTTTCCTGTATGTATAACTTTCATGATAATCGATCTGTTCATCATATTTAAATGATGGTACAATTAATTATTTGAACTTTCATTTATTTAAGTTTCCTAAAAGTTTTTTCTTTTTTCGATTTGTTTTTCGAGCCCTTAAATTAAATTGTATGCAATCATATTTACATCTACTATTTGCAGCTTTTCTTATGGTTAAGGAATAATTTTTTAAATTCTGCCTAATATGCTTTGTCAATTAATTATTCCAAACTTAACATTCTAAATCACTCTTTTTGGTCTCACGCAATTCAACTTAGCCAACTAAAATATTAAATTTGGAAAATTCAACAAAACAGTTCTCATTAAAAGCAGATTTAAATTTCGTGTATAGCCATTCTATTAATTAAAATGCTGGTTCAGACAAACTGAAAAGAAAACAGATAAATAAATAAATAAGAAACAAAGTAGAAAGTTTTATGACTGAAATTACTTTGTTGTGAAAGTTGATACTGATATAACATGATTAATGAAGTAGTAATACAAGATAATGAAGTAGTAGTAATACAAGAAAGATAATGATAATAATCAGAAATGACTGTTGAAAAAATGGTAATCTAACAGCAGCAAATAAAATAGCAATAAAATAACTTTTAAATTAATAATTGGAAATGTAAAATATGCTGAAAGCAATTATTATTGTTGTGTTAGGCACAACAATAATAAAAATAACAACAACAACTGCTATTACTACTACTACGTATCTTTCATTACAGCAAAATTTCTGTATTTGTTTTGTATGTTTTTTTAGGAACTTAAATGCAAATAAAGAAATGCAAATAAATTTTGACAATAACGAATTGCTGTTATTGAATCACTTTATTCATTTAATGCACATAAGTAAATACTTGACATATGTAAGCAAATAATCAACAATTTATTTGTTTTTTGATTGCATTAAAATTTGGTTATAGTTTAGCTTATATAATTTTCTCTATTAGAAAAATAAAAATTGGTGTCAAATTTTAATTAAAATAATTTAATACTGAATATGTCAAATTATGATAATTTGACCTGAAAACTTATCCAAAAATAGTTTCCAATCATTAATGACTTAATTTTGATCGCATTTTTTTAATTTTTTTAAAGTTTCAAATTCAAATTAAAGTTTCATATTTTTGAAGGGTGATATATGAATAAATGTACTGATAAAAGCTCACTGATTAGTGACCGCTGCAAGAAATGGGGCAAAACCACAGATGATGCTTGATGATGTAAACTAAAGCTAAGCGATAAAATGAACAGCTGTTCAATAATGTTTGCGAATAAAGATAAGTGATAAGTTTAAGTTAGAGGATGTGATAATGAAAATAGCAGAGAGAAGAAGGAATGTTAGAATGCAGAATAAATGAAAGATCAAATGTCAGACTAAAACTCAATCGATTACAATAAGAATAACAATAATAATAGCAATAAGAATACTAATAATAATTGATAATAGTAATAACAATAATAATTACTAATATAATAATAATAATAATAAGAACAATAGCAGTAGTAACAATGGTAGTAATAATAATTAATAATAATGATAATAATAATAATTGATAACAATGATGGTAATAATAATGATGATAATAATAATAATTAACAATAATAATGATGATAATAATAAAATGTGCCTTCATATATTTGGATCAATTAATGAATTAATTGCTCTTTATTATTAATGACAATTGTGCAAGGGACTTCAAAATAACATATATCACAACTGAAGAAGTAAAATATGTGATAATTTAAATTCAAAGCAAATTTAACATTCAAATTAAAAATTTAACAAGGAAAAAACTTGAAAAATATTTGTTTGCGTTTAAAAAGTAATTTAATATTAATAAGCTGAATTATTAATAATAATAAGAATGCAACCTTGGGAGTACTAAGCAAATTTTCGAAAAAATTTATAAAGATTAACTGCATTAATACTATCAGTATATTTGGAAAATCAAATTAAACAATTAATTATTATACAGTAAATGAAATTAGTAATAAAACATTCATTAAACATTGCTCAAAAATTTAAACAATTATAGATGAATGATTTCAACATTACTTAAAAATAGAATTAATATTAGCTTTGTTTTATTATTTGCAAGAAAAATAATAGCAAAAGAAATATCAAAAAACGAAATCTTGTTTATGTAATATCTGACAACTTAATTAAATTTTAATGATTGACCAAATTTTAATCTTAAATTGTCAGCATTTAAAAATTCAGACTGAATTAATTAATAATTAGTAATGTTTATTTCCAGCAGATAAGTAAAAAATGAAGACGAAAATGATTCAAAATTTGTAATCATAAATAGAAATATTAGAAAAAATAAATCTTAATTGATTAAATCATTTTCCCTAATTTCAAATTTTATTTTCCGATTTTTTCCTTTTGAAAAAAATAAACTAAATATTTTTTTTATAAATCAAAAAATTGCACACTCCACTTTTTTTATTGCTTCGTTTTTGTTTTGTTTTTCTTTTTTTGATAATTTTTTTTTTTTTCGAAAATCACATGATTGAATCATCTAAAATAAAAGCAAAAAAAAAAAAAAAAAGATGAAGAAAAGAAAATAAAAGAAAGAAGAAATTAAAGAAATTTTTTTTTAAAAAAAAAGCGGAGATGCAAGAAAATCGGGACAATTGAATTTTGTGATATCAATGATTTTTATCATGAAACTTAAATCGATACAATGTCACATTCATCGTTATAGCATCAAAAAAAGGACATATTCATGATCGGAAGCTTCAAATGAACTAAATATATTACATAATCAAAAAAAAAAGTGTCAACCTTCTTTCTTCTTTTTTTCCTTTTTTATTATTATTATTTTTTAATGATAATAATTTAAACGTTTACATTTACAATTTGAAATTTAAGATATGTAAATTAATTTTATTCTCTTAAGAAAAAGTTATTGAAATTTTAATTTTTGGTTGGTTATAAAAGAAAAAAAAAAAGCAAAAGGAAAAAGGAAAAGGAAACGGAAGAAAGATATGTAACAAACTGTAAGTGATAGATGGTTGGATAGGATGACAAATAAAGTTTTAAAACTAGTTTGTTTTAAAATTTTTACTTCAGGAACACTTAAGCATTTCCAGCCACTAAAGAAAATTTTTTTTTGATCTTTAAGCTTTTTTACAAAAATATTGCACAGTTTTTTGTTGACTCCATAATATTTATAATTTGTAATTAATTAACTGCCATAATATTATTTTCAAAAAAATAAAAAACAAAGGAAAAGAGTGGATTAGGCGATTTGAAGTCAAAGTATGCTTTGATCTTTGTTCATTATATTTAATATCAATTTTTGTAGGTTGATTTCAAATCAGTTTAATAATAACCATTTTAAACTAACACAATACATTTGTCTCAGATATTTCAGTTTATTCAAACTTATTTGATAAAATAATTTCACATATATTTAAAACTATTTTAAAGTACTATTGTACAATTATCGTAGCTATTTAGGTTTATTTTTTTTAATTAAATAATAATCTTAAAGTAATCTGATAAAATCGTAGCAGATATTTAAGCTTATTTTAAACTGGAATGATATCTTCAATATTTAAGCTTATTTCAAATAATTTGAATAAAATTATCTTAGATATATTGTTTATCTAAGCATTCAATAAAGCAAATTCACTTTGTTTACTTTAAACTTATGACTTTGTGTAATTATGATGATGTAATCAATAGAATGAATAATTCAATAACATTTCAATTGCTTGCAATGAAAGTAAAGAAAAGTAAAAGAAGAAAAAACACTCTCTCTTTACTTGAAATTGTTTTTAAATTTAATGAAAATGTTAATAGAAAATTAATATAGTAATTATTAAATATCACTTCTTTTCTATTTCTTCGTAATATTTATTCAATATTTGAATATAGATATGAATTTATATTGATATGAAATATTAAAAGAGTTAAAAAATAAATTGATATATTATTTTCAAATAATAAAAATGTTTTGATTGATAAGAACTGATAAAATGTATAAAAAGAATTTCATAAATTATACTAAAATGTGAATATTAGTTAAACTTACATAGACAAGCAATTCCACCTGGTTTCTTGTTAAAGGTATCGAGCAAATGAGAATGATTGTGATGATGAGAACTGATTTCTGAAAAAAAAAAGTTGACACAGTTTAGATGACATTTTATAGTTCAAATAATTTTGCTATTTTTTTTCATCATGCATTTCATATTTTCATCGTATTACCAAGAGGATGTTATAAATAAGTTTGGCAAATAATCCAATTTGAATTTTAAATTATATTATAGAATAGAAATTGTTGTCTGATTAATTAATTAGGCCAGTGATTTTATTTGAGATTAGTCATTTAATTATCTCAATTTAAAAAAAAAAAAAATAATCTTACTTAAGGCAAGTAATGAGTTAAACATAGAAAACTATTATCATTCCTAAAGTAGTCCAAATAAAAACTAATCTTAATTAAGCTAATTAAACTGTAATAGTGATTAAACATGAATATCTTGAATTTCCTAGAGTTCAAATTGATTCCTGCTAAGTTTTTTTTTTTTTTTTTTTATAATATTTTTATAATAATGGATAATATTTTTTATAATCCTTGCTCTTCATTTGAATAAAATCTAAATTTAGCTAATAAAAATTAGCTTTACTGTATCAAAATTTTTAAATTGCACCTGCACAAAAAAGTGAATCAATCATTTATTAAATAATAATTCTTTCACTCCGTTACTTACAATTTTTTTATTCTTATACGTTTTCGAAAATTTTACAACAAAATATTTCAACTGAAAAAAAAAAAAGATTTAAAAATTTTATGAAACGTTAGAAATGGTTTCGATGAGTTATAACTGATGATTGTTGCTGCTATAATTGGGTTGAAAGTTTACTGCGAAAATTGGAGAAAAAAATAGGTAAGTTGAAAGTAATTCCTCAAAATTTTGATAACCTAAAAAAGAGGAAAAAAAAGTGCATCGATTGGAAGCTGCAATGAACTGCAAATGAAGTAAATTCAATTCATTAAATCATTTTTTTTCTTGAATGAAAAATCGAAAATTGTTCAATTATTATTTATTGAAAACTCACTATTATTGCATTAGTTTGTAAATGATTGTTTTATCATTCAGTTTTTAATTTTAAAAAGTTTCAAACAAATTTTATATTACCTTTTTGAGTTGAATTATTGGTTACCAGCGATGAATCCGTGGTTGTTGTTGTTGGCAGCAGATTTTGTCCACTTGCTAGTAATTTTTGATTTGATATGTAAATTCGTTTATCCTAAAAAATCGAAAGAATGAAATTTGTTTTTGCTAAATTTTTGATTAAAATTAATGACTAAGTTTTTTGGAGACTTTTTCTTCTTCAATAATTGCCTGTTATCCATTTATTAAAATTGATTTTTAATCCATTTGATATCATTTAATGCAATAATGATGAAAAAATATGGATATGTAAAATATTAGAAGTAATTCAAAGAGAAAGAAATTTGCTTTTGTTTAATTGTTACTTAAAAATATATTAAGAAGAAACATGTTTCGAAATTCTTTTTTTAATTTATGAAAAAAAGCTTGACTAAAAATTTTCGAAAGTAGTCCTTTCAAAAAAAGAAAAAAAATTCATTGATAATTTCAAGATTTGATTAGGTCAAATGCTTTTATACCTGTATATACATGCGTCTTTTCTGTTTCTCAAAAAAAAGAAATGGAAATGAATTGAAAATTCACTTTAATTACTCAAATAACATGCAATCATCAGATAATTTAATTATGTTAATGAATTTATCGGAAAATTTTCCCTCACTGATATGATAATAATGCAATCACTGTAGAAAAAAATTAGTTAAATGACTTATTAAAAGTTAGGGTTCAATCTTCATATTCTTCCCTTTTCCTTAGTCAAAAATATTTAGCTAGCAATGATAGATCGTACATTATATTAAAAAAAATTCTACAAATTTAAAAAACTTAAGAGTTTTCATGAGAATGTTTTTTTTTCTCTCGAATAAATTAAAATAAATTATCAAATCATTAAATTTTACTATCGAAATTTTAGCATAAAAGAAAAAAGTCGAAATTATATTTTATTAATATTAATGCCTGAAAGTGTTATAAGAAATTCTAATTTATTATGTTATTTCTAATAAATCATTATTGGAATTTATAAATTAAAAAGGAAAGCATATTATCTCGAGGAACTATGTTATTTGGAGAAATCATATTCTTCAGTGATTTAACGGTAATTTCCCAAAATGATAAATTACAAATTTTTTAACTAATTATAGAGTAATGCTGGAAGAAAAATGTGGTATTTTAAAAAATAGGTAAAAATTTTTTTGTAATAAAACATAAAAGTGCTAAAGCTTAAAATTTCAGAGCACTAAAATAACATTAAAATTTTTTTCTTTCTCTCTTTTCTGCTTTTTTGTCTAACAAAATTTGAGGTGAAGGGCATTTCTCAATTTCAGCCATCAATTAATTTACCCGCAATCATGAAATAGTTTAGTATCTTATCACTAAACAATAATTCATTTATTTATCAAAATGAGTAAAGAAGAAAACAAAGAAAAAGAAAACAACAAAAAAAAAAAAAAAAAAAAAACGGAAAGACTATCAAAAAAATATATGAAATGTTGCCTGAGCAATGCTTTATGTTAGTGTTATCGAATAAAGAAAACTTCGTTAACATAATGAATAAAAATTTCGATAATTTATTTTTATTAAATAAAAATAAATTTAGAAATTTCCAACTTTTTTCAATAAAATAACAGAAATTTCAAATGAATTATTATTGCTTAATTGACGGAGTGAAGAAAAAAATACAAAATATGGAATAATTATTTCTCATCTTTTATTCTTTCGAGAAATGTTTAATTTCAGAATATCTGAATAGAATGTCGTTCTTTCTTTCTTTCTCTATTTCTTCTTCTTTCCCTTTCTCCCGCTTTGCATTTGTATAAATATATATATATATATATATATAGAGAGAGAGAGAGAGAAAGACTCATACTGTTGATAGGTATAGTTTGTATTTTAAAAATTTCTGTTTATTTAAAGGAAAAAAAAAAATTTAAGTTCAATTCAAATTTTATCACTTTTATATTTTTTCGCAATGAAGGAATATCATAGATATGTTCATTTCAGATTTAAATACTCTCTGTCTTCCTTTCTCTTTCCCTCTATTCCCTTCTCTCCTCTCTCTTTCTTCTTCAGAGCAATCAAAATGAATTTTAAAATTTGATTCAAAAAATAAAAATAAGCATTTTATGAAATACTAAAAAAAGAAAAAAAAAAACTCATTTCTGTTTCATTACAAAACTAAATAATTAAAAATATGTGTAAATGAAAAAAAAAAATGTAATTTGAATTTACTTTTTTTTTTATTTTTCAAAAGAAAGTTTTGAATGGTAGGAAAAAATTACACAAACTGTTTTTTTTAATAGCAATGAAATTATTTTTTATTTCTCTTTTCCTGTTTTTGTTCCAATTTACCAATTAACTACAAAATTTCATCCAACACAAAAATTTACAAAAAAAAAAAAAAAAGAAAAAAGAAAAAAATGACTTACTTGTGCAGCGCTTGCTTCAGCAAATTTTCGTGCAAGTTGAATAACTGATTCCGGTCGATTAATACTTTGTTCACGTACTATTGGTCGCCGTATACCGGTATCCTGAAGTGACAAAACAAAATTAAATTATTCAGAAAAATTTTGAAGAAAAAAAATTCATTAAGATTTTATTTAAAAGTATGTCACATTCATTTTGATTTTAACAAATCAAATAATTTGATGCAAATGTATGAATAATCTTTAATTTTATTAGAAGAAATAATAAAAGTTCAAAAAATTTTTTAGTTAGTTATTTTAGTTCTAATTAAGCAAAAACTATTTTAAAAAACAAATTTACAAAAACTTTGAAACGACAAATTTTTCACCTAAACAAACGTTCATTTTGTGTTTCAGATATAAAAAAGTTTGGTTTGGAAAATTAACAGAAATGTTTTTAATTTGATTAAAAAATACCAATATTTTAATATAAATGTTTGATATAATAATTAACATAATGAAATTAATATAGTATAATTTTCAATATAATAAAATAATAAATGACAAATGACAAATGATGCTATATTACTGTCCTGTTATTCCGTTAATACAATAATTAGTACAAAATTTTTTAATTTAACCAAAAAATATAATAAAAATTAAGAAGAAACTTTTTTTAATTAGTTTATTTTATTTTAGGTCTAATTAAATAATACAGTCAATGAATATATATTAAGAAAACAATTTTGAATAACTCAATTTTATTATATGCGTATGTATATGAATTTCATCTTCAACTTTCATATGCTTAAATAAATTTTATTATACATGTATATTTTTTTTAAAAAAACTGATTATTACTTTCAAAAATAATATTTTTCTTTTATTTTTTTATTTTACAAAAATACATTCATTTTTGCAAGAAAAATTTTTTGACAATTGACATAATTTTCTTTTTTCTTTTCTTCCCTTTAATTTATTTACTTCTAATTATTGCCATTTCACCTTCTTCTTGCTTCTTCAAAATTTCAAATACAAATTTTTTTTTTTTTTTTTTACTTTTTTCTCATTTTTTATTCAATTTTTTTTTTTTTTCGAGAAAATCAAATATTTGAAATGAAAATATATGATAATGCATCACAATAAATCGCTTCATTTTTGCTAGCATTTTGGAAGTAATATGAAAATTTTTAAATTCACGAAATTGTCAAAGCTAAATTTCCTGCAAGAAAAATTTATTATTGCTTATTGGCACTTAAATTCCTTCCCTTCATTTGATAGAAAAAAGATATCATAAATTGATCTTATAATTAGACTGCTAGTCATTCTTTTCAAAATGTATTTAATTTCTTTCCTATTTAGCAGAATAATTTATAATTAATTTGGCAATTCATTTTTTCAAAAACTTAATGCATACGATATTATTGAAATTTTCTTCATTCAAAATTATTTATTTTTTGCCGCTATTTTATTTCTAATTGATGTTCAAAGAGATTAAATTGCTTGGAAAAAAACTGAAAGACTGATTTAAAAAAGAGAATGGATTTCTCACTCATTTATTCTTTGCATCGATGAAACTCTTTTGATGGATGGAAATAAATAAAACTAATTTGGTACTGATGATAGAATCGAAAAACCGGTTTATAATAATACATAATATGTTGTAATTAAATATCAGTAAATAAAATATTCAGTAAACTTCATATCTTTTCCTTTTTTCACTACAAAAAAATACTAATAATAATAATGACAGTAGTAATAATAATACAATTTTATCTCTAAACCATTGCAAAAAATGAAATTAAAAACTGATAGAAAATTATTTTCAAAATTATTGGTGATGAAATTGAGTGGAAATTATAATTTTTATGTTGGATGATATCAATATATTTTTTTCATACTGTAATTTTAAATTTTAATAAATTTATATTACATTATTCGAATGCGATTACTTAAGGATTTGATTCAGTAGTTAATAAATATGGTTTACAAATTATCAATGAAAAAAGGAAGAAGTCAAATTTAAAATATTTTGGAAAATAATAAATTCCACTTATTGAAAGTTAAATCAGAGAAGCATGAAATATTGCTCTATGAATGAGATCAAAACGATAACTAAAATCGTTCATCTAATTAAAGTTTCAAATTCTAAAAAAAATGAAAAAGCAGTAAATAACACTGTACATCTTTGTTTTACATTTGAATTGAATAATAAATGATGGAAGAAAAAATCAGGCAGAATTTGCGAAGAAAAGCTGATCAAAATAAAGGTCAAGGATTAGATCATTTAAATTTTCAATTTTTAAAATCATTCATTAAATTTATACTTTCCTTTCCTCTTCCTTTCTACTATTCAGCAAATATTTATAAAATAAAAAGCAAACTTTATATTTGCAAATGTAATGAAATGATAAAATCATAATTCAATTTAGTAAAGTACGAAGTAAAGTTGCAATGCAATGAATGATTTTATTTTAAATTAATAAAAATAATGTTCTTAATCAACAATTAAATTTCATCGATAGAGGAATGAAAATGTTTTGAAGTTATTGAAATCAAAAACAAAAATCTAATTGAAATTTTGATAGTTATTTCAACTTCCTCTGATAGATTTAACCAAATTATCAAAGAAAAGAATCATAATTGTTTTCAGATGTTTTCAAAAAAAAAGATTAATGAAATATTTATTTTTTTTTTTTTGAATTTAATAAACAAACAATAACAAACTGTTGAAAAAAATATTGCCATTCTAAGAAACAAAAAAAAATTATAATAAATCTTTTAATTTATTTAAAAGAAACGAAAATAATAAACAATTTTGCTCAATCTCCAACATTATGCTATATCATTGATAGCAAATAATAAATTATTAATAATAGGGTACAAATACTAAAATTAATTTATAGTACTAAAAAAAATTTAATTATTATTCATTACATTTCAATAACATATTTAAAAAAATACAAAAATTTTGATATAAGAATTAGGATTAAAATTATCCAGTAGAAAATTATCAATTTTATTTTAAGTTTTATTTGAAGCCCATTTAAAGCTGTCAATTTTAAAGCAAAAAATTATCATACATACTTCTTAATGGACAATTTCCATGAACATTTCCATGAAATTGAATGCAGAAATTTAACTTACAAAAGTGATAATAATATATCATTGTACGTATTCACAATTCTTGCATAACAAATTATCTTTCAACTTATCGCTTACAATAATTTTTAAATTTTTATAAGAAATTTGTGAAATTTTACATTTTATTTATCAAAAATATTATCAATTAGTTTTGAATTGATTGAAAAGTTTTATAAAAAGCGAATTAAGAAGCAAAAAAAAAAAAAGGTGCTAATGAATAAATGAAATAGAATGACTAATTAATAGCATAAATATAATTATAAAGAACTTTTTCGCATTAAATTGAGATCAAAATTTAAATTTGAAAATAATAATTCAAGTTTTTCTCTTCTTTGCCGCTTCTCATACACTCATCATTTTTCATTCTCTGTTGAAGACGTAATGTGTTTTAAAAAAAAAAAAAAACGAAAACAATTTAAATGGCAATTTAAGAGACTATTTTCGAAAAAAGAAAAATAAAAAAGATTGTTCAGGCGTAAATGATAAAAATTTATGATCAGTACTGCAGCAGTGAAATCCTTAAAAATTTAAGTGAAAATTAAAGTTTTGAAGCGTTTTTTGTACGTTTTTTTTTAAAATATAAACTGCAACTTTATCATTTTGTCTTTTGATAAGTTATAATTTGCATTATTATAATGAATTGATCAATGATCAATCGACTGAATGTATTCTCTTGAAATTACTGGATGATAACGACAGTTGCTTCGATGTATCTCAATCTCTGATAGAAGGAATATTTGTTTTTCAAATTCAATTCGCTATGCTTTTAAATTATTTAAGAAGTTCTTACGGAGTTAATTTGTTAATATAGTAATGAAGGACTGAGCTATGCTCTCTGAGAATTTGTAATCACATTAAGTAATACAATTATTGTCATAAAAATGATGAATAAATTGATAAGCACGTTTGCTTAGTGATAATTTCTTAGTAAACCATAAATTTTATTCATAATTTTGGAAAACATAAATTTATTTTGACAAATACTACCAGCTATAATTTTTGCTTTGTGAATAAGCAAATATTTGATATCATATTGCTCATGTTCTATTCAAATCTGAATTTTAATTCTAAATTAATCTTAGCAAAATTATTAGCTATCAGAAGATGCTAATGTTTCAATTCAAAATTGTCTCAATAAATTATTTTTTCCAGTATTGTGAAAATTAAGAAAGTTTCTTCAATTTCTTTGTTAATAAATTTTTTATATTTTTTTAGAAAGAAATTTTAAAACTTTTAATTTCTTTATAAATTAATATATTAAATACTTTCATCATTAATGAATGTAAGAATTGAAAGGAAGAATGAAGCAAAAAAAATGACAAAATTCAAATTATTTCAGTATATAATTTTTGAATTTCATTAAAAAACAAAAACAAAGTCAGTCACTGGCTGAAAGTTTAACCAACAGCCAATTAATAAAATTTTTTTTTGAATAAAATCATTTGAGTATAATTTGTATAAATTTTAATTAAGAGAAAAAAATTTCTTGTCCTATGTATGTGTGTGTATACTGACGTACAGGAAATTATGATCAAAATTTAAAAACTTGTTTTTAAATTTTGATCAAGAATGGGACAAGTTTTCTTCTTTAAAATCACATAATACTCTCGTCTTCCACTTCATTCAATCGCTCAATTATTTTTTTAAATCACTTCACATTATCTTGCATGCATCAGCAAAAATGATTGTAAAATATTAAATTTATCAAATTTGCGAATTTTTTGATATAAAGCAAAGATATGAATATCTTTTTATTTTTTCATTTCGAAAGAGATGACCATAAAATCCGAGTGGAAAATTAATTAATTAATTAATTAATTATATTCAGGTCTTTAAGTACTATGATAAGAAATAACTTGATCAGAAAGAATCAGCTACAATTGGCATATCAATAACACTGATAATAATTAACAATCATAAAACAATCTAAAATAGTTTTATTGATAACAACTATTAGTTTAATAAAATAAAATGATTTTATGCAAAAAAAAAAAAAAAAAAAACGAGGAGAAAAAAGAATATTTTGGAATATATTATACGATATCAAAACCTGCAATGCTGTATTTGTCGATTATATAAAAATTTTTCTGATAATATTTTATCATTTTACTTGTTAACAACGCAACAAGTAAATAACGCAATCCGCTATAATTACCGTAAATTCAAAAAATTATGAGAGTTCCAAATAATAATAATAACTAATAACGTATTCAAAATATAAATAACTTTAGAAAGAAAAAGTTTTTTGAAAATTTAAATGTTATTAAATTTTGAAAAAATAAAAGAAAAAGAATGACAGATATTATGTGATTTTCAAAACAAATAAATTCAAAACTATTTCAAAAAAATTCAATCTGTTGTCTACAATAATAATATTCAAACTGTAAAAAATGAGAAAATTTTGGAAAGAAAATTTTATTTAAAATTAATAATTACATAAAACTTTTAAAAAAAGAAAAGGATGATAGATATGATTATTAAATGGTTATAAAAAGTTATTTCGAAAATTTTTAAAGCAATTCTATAAAAAAAAAACAACTAAGAATTGCAAAAAAAATTATATTTACATAATTTAGCACTGTTTACTCAAAAAAAAAAAAAAAACAATAAAATTAATATGAAAATAAACTTATTAGTAAAAATTTTTGTTCGCAATAATAAAAGAATGAAAAATTTTAAAAGAAGAAAAATGGAAGAATGAAGCAGAAAAAGCAATTAACTATCGCTGTTAATTGGCATTTTATTAATGCATGCGAGAAAAAAAAAGAACTTTCCACTTCAATTTGTATCAGTAATTTGACATTTATGACAACGATTACATGCTATCCTCTTTTGCTGGATAATTCAGTCTAAATTAAGATGAAAAAGGAAATTAAAATTTAAGTAGAATGAGACGAAGAAAGAATTAAAACATTTTAGGAAAAAAGAAAAACCTTTCAAGGGATGAAATAAAATTTTCATTAGTACAACTGGAAAAATTTTATTTTACAAAAATTTAATTAGCAATTTTAGTGATTCGTCTTAATTTTTTCTTGTTTATTTAATGAATTATTTACTTCATTCGTTTAACATTCTTTTGCCTTGGAAATATTTAGCAAATTATTTGGAGGTTAAATTTGATCAACGGAAATAATTCTTTTCAAGATGATAAATTGCAATTCCATTTTATTAACAGATTGTATAAGGAACAAACGAGAATAATTTTTACTAATATTAGAAATTTCAATTTAACTTGGTGAAATAATATGAAATTGTAAATTAGTATAAAAATTAGTAAATTAATATGAAATTTGACCACTGGGATAAGTAAACTACTTGAATAAGATTTATTCTAAACAGCCTACTTGAAAATGATCATTAAGAAGTTATTATTTGAAAGTGTGACTAATTCTAACCAAATTAATTCGATTACTAAAAGATTAAAACTTTTTGTTGCTTATCACCTGCATATAATTGATATATCAGTTATTTTTCATGAAATCAAATATAAATGATGAAAATTTTATAAATTATTACACAAAGCAAATGAAATCCTCTAAAATGATACAATAATTTTAAATTAAAAAGGGAAAAAGACTTAGGAAAGAAATAAAAAAATAAATTAAAATTTTGATTCACTGGATGTTATCATAACAAAAGAAATTAATTTTTTTTTTTTTGACTGATCCAATTTTAACTTAAATTGTGCTTATTGATTACATGTTCCATGTAAAGTTACGCTATCATTTGTTGCTTTTTACTTCTATTTTGAATATTTCAATATTTTGAACTCTATTTTGAATTTTTTTAAAATGAACAGCCCTCTTTGCAAACAATTTTGCATTTTATCATTTAAATATGCTATAATGAAATTTTAAAAAAAGGCTCAAAATGTGAATATTAGCATATAATTTATTTTTAAAATTACACAATTGCATAAAAATGTCAAATTATTAACTGAAGTGTAATTTATTGATTTATAATTTTTTTTCTCGTTGTTCACAAACTTAATTAGCTAATATTCATAAATATTTCTATAATAATAATAGTAAAAATTAATAATAACAATAATAATAATATAAACTTACTGCATCTGTTTCATACTGAAATACACCGTTAATTTCCAGTACGCGTACTATTTCATCTGAAAAAGAAAGTAAAATTAAATTAAATTTTTTTTTATTGAAAAATTTTTTAACCATTATTTAGTTAAAGAAGTCAAATTTTTTTAAAGAAAAACAAAAACTTGTACTAAATTATTTATTTTAACTGTATTTAATTGCAAAAATTACGCATTATGAGAATTAAAAAATTCCAGTAGAAGCGGAAAGGCTTATTTTCGATATGTAATAAAATTTGATTTGTAACAGCGCAAATGGATTATCGCGCAAAATGTTTGGTAATATTTGTAGAATTATTTTAAAAACTTGTTAAACCGGACGATGCTGATAGCCAATTTGGATTTTTTAAACAAATTAAAAAATGATTCAGATGAAATTAACCTGTAAAAGCATTACGAAGATTAGCAGGAACACTTCGTCTTCTATTCTTTTCCAACTAAAGAAATTCATGATAATGATATCTTTTTTCTATTTTTTGTTTTTGATTATCAATTATATCAACAACCATTATATCATTTTTATCATTTAGCATTTGTAATCATATCACATTCAGTACTGGATTAAAAAAATTAATGAGGGAATGATGTAATTAAATCTAAATTTAGTGAAAAAATTAGTGAAAAAAAAAATTTTTTTTGCAAGGAAGTCTTAATTAAATTAATTTGGTCTTCCTTGGAAGAATGATATGACGATACTTTAAACATAATTGTTCTATTCGTTTATATTAATTATAAAAGATTACATTAAAAAAATATTCTTGAAATGAATAAATGATTCATTATGAATAATATATGAAAGATCAAAAAAAAAAACTACCAATTAAACTTTAGTAAAACTTAAACAAAAAAAAAAAAAATGAAGCAATTTTAAATGATTGAATAACTTTGCACTCAGAACTTTATCATTAGCTATCATTAAAAACAAAAAAGAGAAAATTGAAAAAAAAAAAAAAAAAAACCGTATGCTGACGATTACGTTGTTGCCTTATTGGCGTACGTGTTGTTGCACGTTCAGCAGCAAATTCAACTTTCTGTTGTTTAAAAATATCATTGTAATTATCACTCATTGCTGTATTCGTAAAAGAGTGATTGTTATTAATTGTTTTAGAAGAGGCAGTTATTGTTTGTAAAATCTGAAACGGCAAAATAATAACAATGGAAAATAGTAATATAATAATAATAAAATAATACTTATTTTAATTTAATGGTTTTAAAATTATCTTATCATAATTTTAATCTATGATACTATTTTGCAGTAGATGAACAGAAGAATTTTTATAATACTCGAATTGTTTTTTCCAAATTATTGGTGAAATAAAAAACTTTTTCTATTTCTTCAATTTTTTTTCTAAATTACTAACAACTATTTTTTTTAAAAAACTTTTCGAGAAAAATTTTTAAAAAACGATGAAAAAAATGATAAAATAGAGAAATAATTTATAAATGAATTAGAAACAAGCAAAAAAGGATTGAATTTAAATTACATTCATGCATTTATATGTTATAAATGATTGCATTTAATATATCCCATGTGACAGAAATGATTGATAAAACAGGTTTATATTTGAATAAGTAATTCAAATATTAGATTAAAATTTTGATTGAATGGATTTAAATCAAAAATTTCAGCTCATTCAATTCATTCTACTCTTATTATATTATTATATACTATCATTATTATTATCCTTATCATCTTGCTATTATTATATGAGCTAAAATTTAAAATTCAAATCTTTTCATTTTAACATCTTATAATAATGATTTCTATTAATTATTAAAATGTCGAAATAAATATCAATTCGTTACATTTCAACGGATGGATACAGTATAATTTTTTATATTAAATTAAAATGAAACAGCCTGTTAAATTAAATTAAATTAAATTAAATTAAATTTTATTTTATTTCAACGTGATGCTGTTTTTTTTATTCTAACTTAATGCCTACAAATGGTGAAATGTTTGCCTATTTATTTAAAATTATTTACACATATACATTAAAGAACAAATAACCTTTTTCGATTGTTGTTCATTTTCCAGATCTGACTCAGATGTTCCGGAACCATAACCAGATGATTCCTTCGAATTTGTATATTGCTTCGAACTGTTCCAGCTTATATCCTCATTTTCTGCCGGCTGTTGTTGTGATGGATGCTAAAATTTATGATACAAAAAAAAATCTTTTCCTCTTTTCTTTCCTTCTTTATCATTTATCCTACAATGCAACGTAGAATTTTCTTTAATTAATGCTTAATTAACGTTAAAACCTGTGAACTTTCAAAAAAAAAAAAAGTGTAAATAATATTTTCAAGTAGAGGAAACTTAAATGTGATAAGATAATTAGAGAAACAATTTGTTTACTGATAAATTGTATTATCGTTTGATATGATATCATTATCATTTAATTTACCTTAAATTGGTATGGTGCTTCGATGACATTTTGAATTGAAGAGGGATAACAATTTATATTGGTGACAGGATTAGATGGTAGCAGATTTGATGATGTTGCTATTTCGGATGCTGTAGATTTCCACACTGATTGCTGACAAAAGTTAGATTTGAAAGATTTGTCAAGTTTTGCTGAATAACCCGGATAGAGTGGTGGTGTCCAGAGTAAGCTTGATAAGCTACGATTTCGTAGTCGACGTTCAGCAATGGATAAATGAAAGCAATCATTTTTAGCTATTGTAGCATTTGATGTTGGCAGTGATGTATTCATTCAGATATGATTTATCTGAAAAGTTTTCAATATTTGTAGCAATTCCGGAAATAATAAACGCTTACCTCGAAAAAGAAAAAAGAAGAACCAATAATGAGGAAAATAAAAATGAATTGGAGTGAGACGTCGAAATAATGATTAAATTTTTAGGCTTTCCTAGATCGACTAACTAATTAATTAGATTTCTCAATTACATTTTTCTAATGTAGTATTCAAAATAATATTTACATTTTTATTCCAAATTTTATTATATGCAAAAAAAAAAAATGTAAATTTCAATCAAAGAAGTCCGAAATAAATGATCGTATGTTAATTTGCATTTTGTTAATAATCATTTCTTTTTTATCATAAATTTTTATGTGCAAACAACTACTTGCAAAATTTCAATTTAATTTAAATGATGAAATAAGGTGATCTTTTCCTAATAAATCAAAAAAATAACGTTCTTTTAATGATTTTTTTAATGATGCAAAAGTAAACTTTCAGCAAATGAAAAAATTTCATTTATTTTTGCTTTTTTTTCATTATGTGAAAGTAATAAAAGTAGCTTTTATCTGAAATTAAATTTGTTATTTTTTTCCTGAAGTCATTCCCAGAAGCATCTCAAATGAAAGTGTTTTTGTTTCGATTATATCTGTCACAATTATTTTTATCTTAAAAAAAAAATGACACAATATTATTTTTAAACAAAAAAATCATTTGAATTTTATTAATTCAAATCAGTCGATTAATTTAAAATGAAATTTTGAAATGTTCGAAATAACTTTTGTGTTTTGTTCTTTTTTCTTTTAAAATCCAAATTTTGTGGAATAATTTTTTTGAACGGAATTTGATCAATTCATGTTTTTTCATTAATATTTAAATCATCGTGCTATTAATCCATGATATCTTTTAATTTTTTTTTCATCATTCTTCAAAAAGATTTCATTAAATTCTTTGCTGCTTTAGTGAATTTTAATTTAAATTTCAAATTTTCATAACTATGAAAAGATATATGAATGGCGCGAAATTTTGATTTCATATTAATTTTCGCAAATTCTAATAAAAAAAATTTGCTTCCAGTCAATTTCATATTGCTTAAATTAGATTAATTTAAAAAATGGACGAATTTGATAATAATTGTGTTTTGATTCAAATTAATTAATATGAATCAAAGTAATTCTCATGAAAGAATTCATAAAATAAGAAAGTTAAGAGCGAAAGTTTTTTTCTTTGATTTAAAAAATATTCTAAACACTTGGAGTGAAACATTGTATTAAGTAAGAACATAAAATATTTTACAAGAATAAATATAAATATGTTAAAAAATGAGATTAGCCAAACATCTAAAAAAAGAAAAGACCAATAGAGCAATAAGTTAAAAGGAAAAATAAAAGGAAAAATGGCACTAATTAGTGGGCAATTAATTAAACACACATTCATTACTTATTTAGCAATTGTTAGTCCTTTTAAGCTTAAATTTTAAGTTAACGAAATGTTGTTTGTGATGAAAAATATTTCTTTACAACTGATACTATAATAAACCAGTTAAATCTTTCAAAAATTTGGTTAATTGCTTGAAAATGTCATCTTATCAGCAGTTCTTGTTTTCTTTAATCTTTCTGAGAATATTTAATTTTACACAATTACCATATTTTTCTTTTACTTCTTTTTTGTTAACTTTTATTTTAACTGTAATGATAGCTTATTGAAGCAGCAATACAATAAATGTGACTGACGTCGCAACTAATGTTGTAGTACAAGGTATACTGTAGCATAGGAATATTGTAGTGCAGAGAGTACTGTAGCATGATATTTAAGAAAGTTGCCACAAAAAAAAGGGAAAATAATTTTTGAAACTTGAAAAATAAATTTAAATATTACTGCTAGATAATCACAAAGTCATTTCCAAATCTAACTCATTGTTCATTAAGCAAAAAACTTTATCACAGCTAATAAGACATAAGTTTTAAATATTAGAATTATATCTAAGCTAAAACTAGTTAGACGACATTTTAATTTATCTAGCCTAATGTTTAGTTATTTATTAAAAAGAAAGAAAAATGATATAGATATTTTTTTAGAAAAAAATTTAAAAAACTACCAAAATTTCGTATTTTAAAACTGCATATAGCTAGGTTTTCAAATATTTCCAAGCGAAGAATTAAAAAAGGTCGTTCATAGCAAATGATTTTTTTTTTTTTTAAATAGCTAGAGAAAATATTGACTAGAATTATTCCAAACAATGTCATCAACTAATTTTGTGCATGAAAAATCTACAAAAGTCCATGTCGTTTATTGGAAAGGAGTTAAAGAAAAGTGGATAATAACGTCTAATCTTGTTAAATATGCTAATTAAAACTGAAATCTTCGTGCATATTTAATGAGAAATAATAAAATATTTAACTGAAAATCTTTAGGAATTTTTAAAATATCCTCTATCACTTGTGCACATTAACACACACAAATATATTAACCATTTACTACTAACAAACACCCAGTTTTCATCGATGTCAGTAAACATAACAATTTTACCGCAATGAGACTCATTCAAATGACACAGATTGTACTCAAATTGAAATTTTTACCATTACCACTAATTATATATATAATTTAAAATTTTTTCGGATTTGCGAGTTAGTATTGGCAAGTCTTTAGCGTTAAATTAGTAAAACGTTAAATTATATTCGGTTTAAAGCAATCGTATGATGATTAATCGATTATGCTGAATGCTTTCCTTCCTTTTAATACATAGATTAAATTAATTTCTAATTACTAATAATTTTTGCTTCCTACTCAATTTTTATTTGAATAATCTGAATGGAAATATTACTATTTATTATTAATAGTTATTTAAATGGAATTATTACTATTTATTATTAATAGTTATTATCAAAAAATTCCTATTTACTATCAACAAACACCTATAGACATATAAATATATATGCATGCATACACAAACAGACGAATTAATTGTAACGAACTCAAATTAATTGTATTTTTTTTTTGATAAAAATAAACTTTCGAGTAATTAAGTATTTACTGAACAATCAAATATTACTAGAAAAGTTTTAGTTTGTACAAAAAATAAGAGAAAAAGACAAATTAATAGAGAAAGAAGTAAATTTAATTGAAAAATAATTATTAATATGTAAATCACAAATCCAGTTTTTTTAAATAAAAATATAGAAAGACAGTAAAAAAAATGATGCATGAAAATAACTGAAAGATAATTAAAATAAGACTTTTGAAATAATTTTATTTTTTATAAAATAGCGAAATTTTATCACTAACAAATCAATTTAACCAAGGAATAGATTGATGTCAATGTAAAATTTAATGAAGGATACATTCTATTAAATCATACATTACTATTCATGATTTATTGTGATCATTATTTTGACTAGATATCAAATCATAATTAAAATTGCATTTGATACGACAACATTGTTTCTAATTTTTTTAGTTCTATGAAGAAAAATATTATAATAATGATTGTTACAGATGAAATTTTCTAATCAACAAATCATTTCAAATTTTGTGGTTTCAAAAAAGTAAAAAGAAGGGATGAAATTGTTTATGTCAGCAATAATGAGAAAGGATATAAAAATTAGACTAGTTGTAGTTGACAAGTGATACACAAATAATGCAATAATTCATTAACATATTACATCAGTTTGGTAGTTAATAATTATTTTGAGCTACTAAAATCGAATTAGTTTCCTAAAGTTCTTTTTAAGATAATAAAGGGTTTTTTTTTCGAATCAAATTTAATTCGTAGATATTAAAAATCTGATTTTTCTATTCACTTTTTTAACATTTTCTTAAATTTATTAACACAATAAATTATCGATTTTTCAAAATATCCCTTGCAGTTAATATAGCATTATTTATTTATTTTTTTTGGAGGGGGGAGGGAAGAGGAGGTAGAAAGAAATAAAAAATTGTGAAAAAATACATTTAGTTGAAATTGACATTTTTTTTTATAAGCAAAAACTTTTCTTTTTCTTTCTCTCCTTTTCCCTAAAAGTTTTAGGGAGGAAAACTAAAAAAGAAAATTATCACATTTCAGTTTTTTTTCCGAATTTTACTGAGTCACAGGAGAGATTAATTTTGCTAATAAAAATTAGTTGAGAAAGCAATAGAAAGCGGAGGAAATGAAAAAAAAGGGAAAAAAAACCAAAATTTTGAATGAAAGCTTGAGTCGAAAACAGAAATAAATTATTAACCCAATGTTTTGAAATAAATAATTTTTAGAATTAAAAAATTTGCTTTTTTGAGAGTTAAAAAATGAAATAAAAGAAGTTGAAAAAAAAGAAAATAATTAGCCAAAAAAAAAGTTAAGTTTTAGAAGAAAAATGAAATCTATTATTATTCCTTTTATTTACTTTCTGTACGAATACAATAATGTTTATACTTAATAAAATGTAGTGAGAAATTTGTTGCACTAAAACTGAAAATACTAGCAAAACTAAAAAATAAAAAAATAATAGAAAAGGAAAGCAAAAATTCTAAATCTGCACTAAATGAATCTTTTAGTTGAATAGGAAAAATAAGTGAGGAAAAAAAATAAGTAATTATCTGATAAATGAAATTTATCAGTTTCGCATTTCTCGTCTCCATTCTTTTATTTTACTATTTGTTTTCTTGCTAATTATTTTTTGCTATTCCTTATTTTGCTCTATTTTTCTTCCTTTCAATTTCTTCCTTATAACTAACAAATGAGTGGGATTTTGCAAGATAAATATATGTTTTCAAAATGAAATATGAATGCTTTCATAAAAGATTGTGCAGTCTGCGTTCAATCGAAATCTAAAAATGAACTCAAAAAAATATTATTTATGATTTATTTAATGCTAAAAAATTATGATAACTAAATTAAAGTAAATCAAAGGTTTAAACTTGAAATTTTAATTTAGTTAGTATAAAGATGGAATAAATAAAACAAATTTCAAGTTTATAACGAAGAATTCAAATATTTCAATATCCTTCTCTCTTGTAACATAACTTTCTTTTCAGAT